CCCCGCCCCTCTATGCCGCCTCCAGGTTGTTCCACGCGCAGAGACTGACCAACACCAACCTTCTCTTCGTGGTGGCCGAGAAGCCGCTGTGCAGCCAGTGTGAGGTGTATCGGCTGCTCCAGAAGGAGACACACTGTATCCTGTCCCCACCCCTACTAGCCGCCCGCGCCCCCTCCCTCTGCGCCCCTTCCGTGCCGCGGCTCCTTGACTCCCCACCCATGCCCAGCGGACGGCCCGGAACAGTGTGAACTGGTGCAGAGACCACGATACCGGAGAGGCCCGCACATCTGCTTCGACTACAACGCGACGGTGAGGAGAGGGGCGGGGTACCTGACACCCAGTTCCCCTCCCTCGGGCCGGCGGGTGTCCTGTGCCCTCCCCTGCCCCGCCCGCCCTGGCCGACCTGCTCTCGGTCTTTTTCCGCAGGAAGATACGTCAGATTGCGGCCGCGGAGCCTCCTTCCCGCCGTCACTGGGCGTCCTGGTGTCCCTGCAGCTGCTGCTGCTCCTGGGCCTGCCTCCGCGGCCGCAGCCTCAAGTCCACGCCCACGCCTCGCGCCGCCTCTGAACACCGCCCCCACCCCGCAGGCCCACCCTCCTCTCACCCTCCCCACCCTCCCCCGCCTTAGAGCCTAGCCTTCTCCCTCTTTAAAGGACCTGAGCGTGTTAGACCCTCCCCTAGAGTCTGAACTTGAGTGGGGTTCCCCCGAGGGCCTGTAGGTCTTTGGCCCCCAAGCCAGAGTCGCCATTGCCCCCTTCCCCCCCAACCCCTCCTCCCACCTCGATCCTTCTCATTCCCACTGGACGCACCCACCGCCAAGGCTGGCACACAGAAGCCACAGTACTGGTGCCAAACCAGGCCTCCACTGCCCACCCTGCCCGGCCCCAAAACTCCCTTTATGTGGGAGACCTACGCCCTGTCTCCTAACCTGCCCCTTCTGTCCCACCCAGGACCAAATTTGGATTTCCTGAGACTCGCGGAGGAAGTTGACATGGACAGTTTGCGACCCTGTGCACCCCAGCTTAATCAGGCAGGAGAGAGGTCCTGGGGCAGCCCCCCAATGGGCTTATGCCCCTCTCAGGCTTACAGCCACCTCCCCTCACTCCCAAAACCTGCAGGTGTCAAGACAGTGACAGCAGCACTGGGTCAGATACAACCCCATACACACCTGGAGCCCCAAGGGCAGAAACTGGACTCCACTCCATTAGACATGCTGTGGAGGGCACACACACAAACATTTGTACAATCACACACACACCATGGGGTAGGGTGGAGGTGGGGGCTCACAAAGCCTTACCCAAGGCTCGGGGTTGGTGGGAAAGTTGGCACTGCACACTCAATCCACTGCTCACCACCCACCTCTAAATCTGACCTGCAGCCCAACCGTCCTCCACCTCTAAAGCTGAATGTCAAAGCAGAAAAACAGTGCCAAATGCTGGGGCTGAGGGGGGAAGTCCCCTCTGGCCCACCCTAGCCGCCAGTGTTCCCTAAATGCCCCTCACCCAGCCAGGTGCTCATTGTAACCATTTCTCACTTAGTGTCAGGCCCCCAGTGGGACCACAAGCCCCTGCCTGCACCCCTCAGCAGAGGAACCCTCACCAGACATTGCCCTTTGCCTTAGCAGGGGTGACTTGATCTCTCCTGGCTGGGCCCCCGCAATCTGGCCCTTACATACTCAGGCCTGTGCCCACTCCCTGTCTCCTTCCTATTCACACGCACCTTCCCTGCCCCCAGGAGGCCTAACTGCTTCTCCCTGCTGAACACACACTTGCACGTGCACACACACATACACACACTCTACACACAGAGGCTGGGCCCAGGCACATCTCTTCACACCATTCATTCTGGTGATGTCCCCAAGGGCATCCCAGCCTGGGGACCACTGGGGGACTGAGGGCAGGGGAAAGTGGGCCATGGGGCTCAGATGGATTGGGAGGAGGGGGGAGGGTGATGCATTAATTAATGGCTCCGTTAATTAATGTCATGTTGCTTGTTGCTTTCTCAGTGTGTGTGTATGGTCCATGCCCGCTGCTGGTGGCAGGGTGGCGCCCGTGCTGCACACCCAGCCTAGATGCCAGCCGTGTCTTGTGGGGGCGTGTGTGTAACCGTAGTGTAGTCAGGTGCTCAATGGAGAATATAAAAATAAAAAAAGAATCAAACATATACAGAAAAAAATATATATTTTAAGTTTAAAAAACAGAAAAACAGACAAAACAATCCCCATCAGGTAGTTGTCCAACCCCCAGCTGGGTCTGATTCTTCTCATCACCCACCTGACCTGGCTGCCCCCTCACCTCAGGCTTGGGGGACTGGGGGGCCATTTCCTCTTCTCTGCCCTTTTTTTTGGTTGTTCTATTTTGTACAGACAAGTCGGAAAAACAAGTGACAAAAAAAGTCAAGAAACTTTGTAAAATATCGTGTGTGTGATTCCTTGTAAAATATTTTCAAATGGTTTATTACAGAAGATCAGTTATTAAATAATGTTCATATTTTCACTTCAAATGGTTCCATCCACTGTGTCTGCCCTGGGGTGAGTGAGGACTGGGGTGAAGACAAGTAGCCATGACTTCAGAGTCCTACTTCCTGCTCATCTGGTAAGGTGAAGGCCACCAGCAATCCAGGCCCCCAGCAGGTTAGGTCATGACACTTCCCAAGCTCCAAAGAGCCAGATCCTATCTCTCATGTAATCTTCTCAGAGCATCTGAGAAAGGCTGTCTTAAAAAATAATAAAAGGCTTCCTAAAGGCCCAAGGTCAGGAGAGTAAAGGAAAGAAGACAGATGAGATGCAGGCCTAGGGAGGTTCCAGCTAGAGGTCAGATCGCCCGGCCCAGCATGCAGGTTCATTACCTGGAGCAAAGGACAAGGACGTGGGTTGGGTCCAACACTGAGTGTTGCAGAGCACAGTCCTAATGTTCTGAAAAAGCCAGGCAGCCCCTCAGCACAACCTTTGTCCTGTCCTGGCCTAGGGAGAGTGGTCATGTGCTCCCTGTGGCCGCTGCTGTTCTTGCTAGAAACCAAAGCTGAGTCAGGTCTCCCTCCAGCCAGCCCTACAGTTTGTTCATTTTAATTGCAATCTTTTTCATTTCGATCCTAATTGGTATGACCTTCCTATTCTTTCCAAGACAGACTTATAACTACCAGAGCAGAGGTTTCCTGGTACTGCTGACAACTACTCCACATTCACCTGGTGAGCAGCCGACTGAGTCCCCACAGCAACCTTACAATTGGTTAGGTGCTGGTTTATCCCTGTAAGTCAGATAAGCTGACTGGTTTGGGGAGAACAGAAATCCCGACAAGAGCAAGAAACCAGCAAAGATTTCAGGGAGGAGGTAGCCTTTGGCCTAGGGCTGGGAGAACTTCAATGTTAAATATTGAGGAGGGCCTTCCAGGCCTTAGGGTCACTGGAAGAGCAAAGACTAATGACCCCTAAATTAATTAGCTCTTATGCCTGAAATAGCCTCAAAGTCCTGAGGTGGAGTTGGGAAATACAGAACATCCAACCAATTTGAATTTCAAATAAAGAATGAGTGTTATATAGTATGTTGTCCAGTATTACATAGCACATAACTACACTAAAAACATTTGGAACATGCTTATACTGAAAAATCCTTTGCTGTTTATCTAAAATTCAACTCTGACGAGGGCCCCTTGTATTCTGATTTGCTAAGCCTGGAAATGCCTCCATGGGGTGACTTCCAGTGGGAACCCAGACCCCCAAGTCAACGCCTTCTGTAACCTGGAAGGCTATGACTCATTGGCATTTGTATTAAAATCAATGGCTGAAAGGAAAAGATTTTGCACCTTTCAAATGCACTTTTAATTATATGCCCATGCTTTAAAAAGTAACTCAACATAGCAAAAAAAAAAAAAAAAAAAATCAGCCTACACAGGACATAACCTGCCAGAAACCATCAAAGCGGACCTGGGCCAGCCTGGGCCAAGGACTCCCCTCTTACCCTGAGTCAGTGATGAGAAGTCTCTGATGAGGAGGAGAGTCACTGGGAGCACTCCTGCCTCTGCCCTTTGGGGACAGAAGACCTGCGTTCGCCATGAGACTCCACCTCATTTGTTAGGACGGCCTGAGCCACACTCCCCCCGAGCAGCCAGGGAGAGCTGGTATATACACACCTTGATTCTCATGGTAGGTCCCGTCATAGCTACTTTATAAGTTCCATGAAATATAGTTTCAAATGGTTTCAGGAACGTGGCGAATGTCACACGGCCGCCAAATGGCAGAGCAAAAATTCCAACGTGGTCAGGCCCCAATCACCCCACACAACCTGGGTCAGGCATCCACCAGACAGAGGGGAGTTTCAGGAATTCGAGCACACTGTTACACACGCAGGGACCGTCCAACATTCTTACCCACACGCCTGCCGAGGGCACGCCGCTCAGATGTACGCGAAGAGAGCCACTCTCCCGGGACACTCAACAAGTGACTGGCACGGAGCTGTGCCGCAGCCGCACCCGCGCTCCCAGGACTAGCGGTGCAGGTTCCGCGTCCCCCAAGCCCAGAGGAAACGGCCGGCGGAGGGTTCTAAAAACTACAAGTCCCGCGCACACGCCCCGGCCCGGCCCGGCGCACAGCCTCCTGGGATTCGTAGTTTTACCCGGAAACTTGCTTTCCGCTCGTCCCCGGCTCGGGCAAGGACTCGGTGTCCCAGCATGCTGTGGAGCCGGAAGGCCGGCGCGCAGAGAACACCCCGCTGCGTCCCGGGGCGCGCAAGCGCACTGGTCCTGTTTGTCGGCACCGGAGAGGGGAGGAGGGACGGTCGAAGCCTGGACCCTGACCGAGCCGGAGCTGACCAGAGTGGATTCGGACCCAGAACTGGGCTCCAGTCCCTGCGGACTTTAGGACGCTGGAGTGAATGGAGGACGCCGAGCCCTGAAATCAACGCCAGCCTCCCGGGCCTGGTGCGAGGCGCGCCGGCCAGGCAGGCAGGCAGACGTGCCGAATCCGCCCAAGGCCTTTCCCCTGATCCCCGGCGAGGGGCTCAGGCCCTGGGCCCGCGACCAGCCCCGGCTTGGCCCGTGGGGACCCCAACCGGAAGTGGAGCCTTCACCCGGGCGATAGGCCAGCGACTAGGTCAGGCCCGGGCCTCCCGACGGGGCCGGACTGGAACGAGGCCCCGGGGAGGCCCCCTAGCCCACTAATCCCTTGCCCAAGACCGACGCCGGCAGGGAAGATGCAGCGCGCCCTGCCGGGTGCTCGCCAGCACTTGGGGGCCATCCTGGCCAGCGCCAGCGTGGTGGTGAAGGCCCTGTGTGCGGCAGTACTATTCCTCTACCTGCTGTCCTTCGCTGTGGACACGGGCTGCCTGGCGGTCACCCCAGGCTATCTCTTTCCGCCCAATTTCTGGATCTGGACCCTGGCCACCCATGGGTTGATGGAGCAGCACGTGTGGGATGTGGCCATCAGCCTGGCCACAGTAGTTGTAGCGGGACGTTTGCTGGAGCCCCTTTGGGGGGCTTTGGAGCTGCTCATCTTCTTTTCAGTGGTGAATGTGTCTGTGGGGCTGCTGGGGGCCTTCGCCTACCTCCTCACCTACATGGCTTCCTTCAACTTGGTCTACCTTTTCACAATCCGCATCCACGGCGCCCTGGGCTTCCTAGGTGGTGTCCTGGTGGCACTCAAACAAACTATGGGGGATTGTGTGGTCCTGCGAGTGCCCCAGGTACGCGTCAGCGTTGTGCCTATGCTGCTGTTGGGGCTGTTGCTGTTGCTGCGGCTGGCCACGCTGCTCCAGAGCCCGGCACTGGCTTCCTACGGCTTCGGGCTGCTCTCCAGTTGGGTGTATCTTCGCTTCTACCAGCGCCATAGCCGAGGCCGAGGGGACATGGCTGACCACTTTGCTTTCGCCACATTCTTCCCTGAGATCCTGCAGCCTGTGGTGGGGCTATTGGCAAACTTGGTGCATGGCCTCCTGGTGAAAGTAAAGATATGCCAGAAGACCGTGAAGCGCTATGACGTGGGTGCCCCGTCCTCCATCACCATCAGCCTCCCAGGCACAGACCCTCAAGATGCAGAGCGGAGAAGGTATTGTGGAATCTCCTGAAACTTGTCAAGCTCTGAGCACATTTCTTGATGGATCACATTCCATCTGTTGAGGTGCTTGCTGTATGTGGTGGCAGCCTAGTGTCAGGTGTTAGGGCAGATTCAGAAAGAGATAAAGAGCCAACTTTGAGAACTTGAGCAGTTAGTATTCCAGCTCCAGGTGTTTTTTCAACATTAGAGAATGAAAGTTCCCTTTTCTCACAGCTCGGGCCACTTGGTAAGTCTCAGGAAGTGCCCAGTTCCCCTTGGTGTGTGATAGGCTCATGGAGAGCCACTTACACATAACTGTGGCCTCGGCTTGGAATTGTGGCGGTCTAGCAGCGGTCCTGTGGAGCCAGAGTCTGCTGTTGGTTCTTTTTTCTGAGGTAGGGAGGGACAGGAAAGGAGACCTGGGCACCTTGAGATGCTCTCTGAGCCACTGCAATTGACAAATGCTGCACTGTGGCCTCTTTCTGGGTTTTCATTCACATGCTTTGCTTCTCTGCCACTTAATATTGAGGGGGAAGGTTGGGGTATAAGTAGACTTATCCTCGGTCCCCCAAAATGGCCTGTGTCACCAAACCCAGAGGACGTGCCACATGACCCACCAAGGGAGCCTGCTGACCACAGGTAGTGGAGACAGGCTTTTCATTATCCATAAACCAAGCCACCTGCACAATGAGGTGTCCCAGCTCAAGTAGTCACTAGCTGCACCTTGGGCAGGGCTGGTCAGGGCAGCATTTTAATCAGCTCTCAGGTCTGCGGACTGACCAATCAATGATCACAGCTCCATTCCTCGCCTTTTTCTTGAGGCAGTTACTGGAGTAGTGAAATCTTTCTGTACTTGTTACAGCTTCTGTTTTTGCTCTTGCCTTTTAAATCCAACAAGCATTACCTGTGCTCACTCTCCACTAGGGCTGTGGAGTTGAGCACAGGTCCCTTCCCCTCTTGAAGGAGTTTCCAGCCGGCCAAGGGCCACAGATTACTATGGTCCATGGTGGTAGCTGTGGAAAAGCACGCTCTCAGGTCTACGGACTGACCAGTGATCACAGCTCCATTCCTACAAGCTACAGAGCTTGATTTTGGGCCCCAAAGTATGTCTCTGTGACAGATGAGTCCTTATGAACAAGGTCTGTCTCCACCTTGCCTTATTGCCTCTAGTTAAGATGGGACCAGAAGGGGCAGCAGTCATGATAGTCATGACCCCTCCAGTAACAGGTTTTTTGGCTTGCTGACTGGTCATCAAAAAACTTCTGTTCAGGTCAAAAAAAAAAGGACAGGTGCAGAGGGGGTGGGGCTTCTCCGGGGGGTGAGTTCCTGCTATAGTCATATCGTTAGCTGATTTGGGGGTGCAGCCAGTTTCAACTCTGCTTGCTGCTCCCAGACCCAGATGATTACTAGTAAGGGGAGACAGTTTCCTATCTCTGACGCATGTGAGGAAGTGATTTACATGTCACTGCCTCTCTGCCTTGGCAGGTTTTAGACAGGCTTGACAAGAGAACCAGGAGTGGGAGTCTGGGTAGCGGTAGGGAAGAACGGCCCTGTCTGCCAGCTTGTCATGGAGCAGGCTGCAAGGCAAGTGGACGTGTGGAAGTGTGCCCAGGCTGCCTCCACTGTCTTGCTCCCTGGCTTGGTAGGGGGTGTGGGTTGTCTGCTGCCTCTGTTAAGTTTCCCCAGACTATCACCCATGCTGAGGCATCGGGCCCACAGTGGCCGCCCCTGGAAAATTAGCAGCATTCCACCTTCCCCAGCAGGGTCCTCGGGGCTACCCTGTTGGCTCTGGCTTGTGCCACACATGGGCTATTTTCCCTTCCTCTCTTCCCCAAGGACTCAGTAAGTCCCTGCCCTAACACATGTCCTGGTTGCTTTGAGGAGAGCACTGAGTTTGTTAGGAGGGGCAGGTTGACCCAAGTTGGCTCTACTTCCCGGCTGAGAGCCAAGGCAGGTGCTTGAATTTCAACCTCCTCCATAGACCTTTGCCAAGAGGCTAGAGACACCCCTAATAAGGAGAGGGGGAGGAATTATCCTTTCCTTGGATGTGATACCAGTGCTCAGGCAGAAACTCCAGTTTCTAGAGATGTCCTTCTCTTCTGCCTGGGGGCACCAACTCGGCCTACTCTGAAGCAACAGCCTCAGAACCTCAGAACCATTCCTGGGGCTGCCTGGTGGGCAGTCTGACAGCAGGCCAGTTGGCCTTCTCAGGTGGGAGGGTCCCCTGTTACAGAGGGAAAGCTCAGTAGCCTCTGGGTCATTCTGATGGCCTTTGGGCCCTCATCCAATCTCGGGGGAGCCCTGGGCCCTGCGTGGGGAAGCAGAACACTGCATGGTAAGAGGGGGTCAGCTCTGTGGGTGAAGCCTGCAGGGCATGAGCCAAGCTCACCCACAGTGACCTGTCATCTTTCCTCTGATACCAGGCAACTGGCCCTAAAGGCCCTCAATGAACGGCTAAAGAGAGTGGAGGACCAGTCTGTCTGGCCCAGCATGGATGACGATGAAGAAGAAGCTGCGGCCAAGGTGGACAGTCCCCTGCCCACAGACAAGGCCCCCACACTCCCAGGAAAAGGGGCTCCCCCAGAATCCAGCCTGATCACCTTCGAGGCAGCTCCCCAAAAGCTGTAACTCCTGACCACCTTGAGTGTAGCACCTCCTCTCCCAAGGCCCCCTTGACACCCTCTCAGCTTCTCCAGGGCTTTGACCACTCTGAGGAGAGGGAAGAAGGCTTCTTGGGGGTTTCTACAGCCGTCTGCTATTTCTCGCCAACACTACCCAGGACTGACTCTTGCTACCTGGATCCAACTCCAGACAACCACTATGCCAAGAATGGAGCCTCTTGAGGCATCAGCCAGCCAGGGCCATTTGAGGTAAGGCTGCCTCAGCAAGCAGCCCCACGCAGGTGGCTGCAGGGACACTCGTGCCACAGCTGCCGGGCCAGCCTAAGACTGGTTGCTGAGAGCCCTGGGCCAAGGCAAGGATTTGCCAAAAACATTCTGGGGGGCCAGCCAGTGCAGGAGCCAGCACTGGGCTGTACATCCCACCCAGCCCCAGAAGACTTTGTTCATGTCATGTTGAGATCTCTGATTCCCTGCGCTGTGGCCATGGCTGCTTCAGCACAGAAGAGCCGCCGCAACCAGGTATTTTCTACAGGACCACTTGAGTGGGCAGCCAAGCCCAGCCTCACAGTATCAATAAAGCAGTTCTTTGAGGTACGACTCCCACGCTCTGTCAGACCGCTTGTACCGCTCACTCATGCTCAACTGCAGAACTTAAGACAAGGACTCTCTCCTAGGTTCGAAGGTGTGGTCTGCCCTCAGCGCAGCTATATCAAGTGCCCACTCACTGCCCCACTCCCTTTTCTCCCCCGCTCCACCACCACATACATGCCCACCGTCAGACCACCTTCCAGAGCAGTCAGCTCAGACATTCACTTTCTCTCCCCTCTAACCCTGAGGCAGGGAGGCCCTCTTAACCCTCTACACCTTAAGTAGAGGATCTACATAATGAGCTGTTCTTGACTTACCACCAGAACGGAAGCCCCTCCCCAGGCTCTCCCCTGTTGTCATCCAGACCTACCTAACATCTGGACAGCACTGTGGACAGCTAGGGAGACAGGACACAGCTCTACCCTACACAGCTGCAGCCACAGTACCTGCTGGGAGAGCTTCAGCCTCTCAGTGAGCATCCACAGACAGGTACTCATCTTGCCCAAGAGCCCAGTTTTCTGTGCTGAAGGCATTAGGCACAGCTATTCCCAGCTCTGGGCTATTCTCCCCATGTCGTCTTTGGTTGATTTTTACTTTTATTTTTCTTTTTATCTCTACTGTAATTCCTGGTATAAGTGTGAACCAAGTTACTGGAGAGGCAATCTTACAATCCCACCTTTATACAGACATGATCCATATTTTCTCTGTGACAGCAGAGAGGAAGAAAGGGGAGGCACTCCAGCATGAAAAACAAGCAAGAAGGCAGTACACAGGACTCCTGCCTCAGTGCACCAGTGCTGAGGTGTCCTTATAACCTAATCATCTGTGAGAGTCCAGAAGGTTCCAGCCCAGTTCCAACACTGGGGGTAAATTCAGGCTTCCTTGGGCTGGGATGATCTCATGGCTGGATTCTTTTGCGGTACAGGTAAGCATTGCTCACCTGATTCATGATAACCAAGCTGGTGGTGACGGGACACAGCACAGCCAAGTACCAGACCCCACCAGTGACTGTGGCAGTGAACCAGAGTGAGCACATGCCCAACAAGAGGCTGGTACTACCCAACAGATAACCCACTAGCCCACTAGTAGCATGGTACAGCCTGAGCTTGGCCAGAGGCCATCGGGGCAGCAGTTTGGGGTAAAGCAGCCCCACTCCACCTGAGCACTGCAGCCCTGCCCACAGCACAGCGAGCAGCCCGGACCGTCCATGCCAGGTGGCCAGGTGGGCTTTGCCAAGCTGTTCCTTATGGAGGATGACGAGGCCCAGGCCAAGCAGCGCACACAGCAGGGCCAGCAGCTGCAGTGCCCAGTGGCAGCGTGTTCGGCCCTTCCTCGAGAGGGAGCGCAGCAGCGAACTCTCAGGAGAGAACACCAGCAGGGCCTCAGTCATCAGGAAAGAAAACTGGGGAAAGAGAGAGAAAAAAACTTAAATGCGACGCTGCTCAACAGAAAGGATAAGGGCTTTCGGTGCCTAAGCTGTCAGCCAGTCGGGACAGATTCACCTTCTTTGTTCTCCCCATTGACAAGAGTTCCCATTTGGTTGGGCAGGAATGAAGAATTCCATCTGGGACAGAACATCTACCCTGAGGAATCAGTAAGAGGCAGCTACCTTCCCCTTCTTCCTAGGTGCCATACTGAAATGTCATCTCTGCTATGTTACCAAGCAAATGAGGTTTGAGATGTGGCAGTTATAAATGATTCACAAGCTTGGGTTCCCTAACACACAATTGGATACAATTTCTTGGCAAGAGCTGGCTGCATGGGTGCACTGTTTTAGGGAAAATGAGGTGCATCACTATTAGGTAAAAGGGACTGACACCTGCAGTTTCTTGCCTAGATGTGAGTAAAGCTTCATTTTGTCCTTACAAAACCAACCCAATTTGCCCTGGGTATCAAATGTCTGGGATATAGGCCATGAGAAAGAATTGGAGCATGCAATTCCTCTAATTCCATCTCCCACACTAGATACTGTGTCCATAAGGATTCAGACACCACTATACCCATATTCCCTCCCACCCAAAAGTTGGCCAGACCCTCTACTTACAGCTAGAGACATAAGCACCGGATGCCAGGAGAACAGACCTGAAATGAGAAGAGGAGGCCTTTTGGTTCTGAGGCAAGAAGACCCCACCATAACGATCCCAGCAGGCTAAGGAACATAGGCAACCCACCACCCGAAGATGCTACCAAAATGTGAACCTCCTCTTGAAACAAGCTGACCCCAATACCTGTCCTCTCTTCATTCCTCCCTAGACTAGAGACCATGCTTTGCCACTTTCTGGCAGTCCTCCCTTCTTCCCCGAGCCCATCCCAAAGGCAGCCAAGTGTAGAACCAAAATAAAGTAAGAGAAGTTACATATTCTGTGGGGTTTGGCCAACCTGGCACATACCTCACATACCTTATCTGCCCCTTGCCCTACTTATAACTCCAGTATAGCAGGCCTATTACCAGGAGTCAGACCCATGGCTTCCTATTGATCCTGTTCCCCTAGGAAAGTGGCACTTTTCTCCCCAGAGGTCAACTATGAATTCTACTTACTGGAGCCAGGCCTGGCAAGCACAGCCACAAAGATGGTGAAGCCCAAGGCCACAAGGTGGGCAGCAGCTCCAGAGGCAGTGCGCAGTGCTCGGTAGATGTGTGATTCCGTCTCCACAGAAAGGGTCATGGTCAACCAGGTCTCTAGCTTCCGGCTGAAAGCACAGTAGAGTGAGCAAGCTTGGATGCCTGCTATCCACTCCTCCCACTGAAGCAAGGGTTGCAGGTCAAGAATGCACCCTCTTCTAAGAAGTTAAGATAAAAAGGGACAGTACCAAGAAAAGTGCCAGTCACAATAAACCAATCATATGCCGGCGGCCTGTCAGGAAGTACCTACACGTAAACTGGCCCACCTTCCAGGTAGGATGCGCAAGACACAGTAATAGACTACAAATCCCAGCGTGCTTCACGCCGTCGCCTGGTGGGAGAGCCAGCTGTAAGGGCGTGAAGCACTACGGATATTGTAGTTCCCAGTTGTGCCGGCAAAGCAGCGTGAATCCCTCTACGCGCAGCCTCTCTGCGTTCCGCTGTCATGCTACCCCTACGCGCTAAGGACTCACCTGCCCCAGCCGCAGCGCCGGCCTGATACGGTGGTTTCCTCCGGAGATATCACGGTAATGGGGGCCAGCCTCGCGCGCCGCCTCTCTGTCGTGGAGTCGCTTCACTTCCGGGTGCGACGACGTCTACCGACCCGCGACTTCCTGAGATAAGGCCCTCACCCTTCCCCCCAACCAAAGTTTGCGTCGCGCTGCGCAGGCGCTGTTGAGCAGACGCGTTCACGGTCTGAGAGTGCGCAGGCGTGCGTGATTGGATGGCCCAGGCTTGGGGGCTGTTTCTGACAGGTGTTTTTAGGGGTCGGGGTGCCAGAAGCTTCGCACCCGAATCTCGCTAGCGCCATGGGCAGCAGCTGCCGCATTGAATGCATATTCTTCAGCGAGTTCCACCCCACGTTGGGACCCAAGATCACCTATCAGGTACCAACTGGGGTCTCCGGGTTGGGGGAGGGAGGGGAAGGACGCGCTTGGCCACTCACCCAGCTGTCTAGAGGCGGTGGATCCAGGTGCTGCCGGCAGGCCATGCTTTCTTCGCAGAGAACTCTGAATGGAAAGGATACTTAACCCCAGGCCCTGGCTCCAGATGTGGTGGGTCAGACAATGATCACATAGGCCGTGATTGTGGGAAATAATAGTGTAGGAGCCAGGGGAGGTTCTAGGTCCCAGGAGAGATGGTCCACTAGTATTCCTACATGCATAGGAGTTTTAGAGGAGAGTGTGTAGCCAGTAGAGAGTGCAGCATATACAACAGCCAAGAGATGAGTGAGAACATAGAGTATATTTGAAAACACAAAGTAGTAGTAGACCTGGGTGGGTGGGAAACCCTGAAGAAGAGGATTTAGGCTTTGGGGTCACCTGCCATACTCTACCTAGTCTTGAAGAATGGAGCCTCTTACCATTCTGTTCCCCAGGTCCCTGAAGACTTCATCTCCCGGGAGCTCTTTGATACAGTCCAGGTGTACATCATCACCAAACCGGAGCTGCAGAACAAGCTCATCACTGTGTGAGACCCTAGCATGAGGGGGGAGAGGGGCATTCCTAGGAGAAGTGGACAGGTTTGGAGGTGGGAGGAACCTGACTTTGTTCCCATCTCTTACCCCATCCAGCACAGCCATGGAGAAGAAACTGATTGGCTGCCCTGTGTGCATTGAGCATAAAAAGTACAGCCGAAATGCCCTGCTCTTCAACCTAGGTTTTGTGTGTGATGCCCAGGCCAAAACCTGTGCCCTCGAGCCCATTGTCAAAAAGCTGGCTGGTTACCTGACCACTCTGGAGGTCTGCATTATGATGGCTTGGGTGGAGGGCAGGCAGAGTTGGGGAAGGTGTTCCCACATCTCTAACCTAGGGACATACCAGGGTAGAATGTTAGCGATGGCTTCTGAGGTGTGTCCACCATGCTGTCTATACTCTATCCAGCTGGAGAGCAGTTTCGTGTCCACTGAGGAAAGCAAGCAGAAGTTGGTGCCCATCATGACCATCTTACTGGAGGAGCTAAATGCCTCAGGCCGATGCACTCTGCCTATTGGTATGGCCCAGCCTCTGCAATGACAATAAAAGGGTAAAGAAGGAAAGGGAAAGTGATAGAGGAAGTTGAACTCTGCCAAGGACAAGACTCATGAACAAATTGGTGGCCACCAAATGTCCATGAGCTGGGCTGATTCATCTAGAGACCACAGTAGATGATCAGGCTGGGGATACCAGACCTGTCCAGCTTTGCTTCTTAGGCATGTGCTTTCTCTTCTCTGGATTGCAGTCTCCTGCCCCATGTAAAGGAAAGATTGGCCTACCCAAAAACTACCTGCCAAGGGTTTCTGGGGGGAGTGGATGGTGATTGAGGGTCTCTTAGAAGAAATGTACTGAAGATATGAATGGGGCCTCTGCAGATGAGTCCAACACCATCCACTTGAAGGTGATTGAGCAGCGACCTGACCCTCCTGTAGCTCAGGAATACGATGTGCCTGTCTTTACCAAGGACAAGGAAGATTTCTTCAACTCACAGTGGGACCTCACCACACAACAGGTATGCCAGCCCTCCCTGAGTACTATCACCTGTGGCCGGTCATAGCCCAGAGTCATTCCACCTGTCCTGACTTTGCCCTGCTCAGATCCTGCCCTACATTGATGGTTTCCGCCATGTCCAGAAGATTTCAGCTGAAGCAGATGTGGAGCTCAACCTCGTGCGCATTGCCATCCAGAACCTGCTGTGAGTGGGGCCAGGCATGCCCAGGACGGGGAAGGGCCCAGGGCCCTGAGTGTGGGTATTGAGAAGTCATGACCTCAGAAGCTGAGCACAGTTATCTCCCCCAGGTACTATGGTGTGGTGACACTTGTGTCCATCCTCCAGGTAGGTGAGCCTGAGTTCTGTTAACTGGAGAGCGGCTCATCCAGAGGCTTATGTGCCAGGGAGAGTTTGGGGGTATGTCAAATTTCCAAACCCTTCGCTCAAGCCCATGCTTCTTGCTGCCCTCCAGTACTCCAATGTGTACTGCCCAACACCCAAGGTCCAGGACCTAGTCGACGACAAGTCCCTGCAGGAGGCATGTCTGTCCTATGTGACCAAGCAAGGTAATGGCAGGCTTTTGGGGAGGTCACATGGGGAGAACACGGCCATCCAGAGAGCTGACCCCTGGCACCCATAGGGCACAAAAGGGCCAGTCTCTGGGATGTATTCCAGCTGTACTGCAGCCTGAGCCCTGGCACAACTGTGAGAGACCTCATTGGCCGCCATCCCCAGCAGCTGCAGCATGTTGATGAACGGTCAGTGGGGGAGCCCCTGGGGCGGGAGGGTTTCCTGAGGGCAAGCACACTCATTGTCTCTCCAGAACCCTGGGTCAAAAAGGAACAGGAGAGTCCCAGTGAGCAGAATCATGTGGGACTGCTAGTCTAGGGAGGCTTCCTGGAGGTGATGGATGTGGAGTCCAATCTGGACACCCAGACTGCAGTCCCTCAACCCTCTCTCCCTCACCCCCCCACCACAGGAAGTTGATCCAGTTCGGGCTTATGAAGAACCTAATTCGGCGACTACAGAAGTATCCTGTGCGGGTGTCTCGGGAGGAGCGGAGCCACCCTGCCAGGCTTTACACAGGTTGCCACAGCTATGATGAGATCTGCTGCAAGACAGGTGGAGATAGGCAAGGCAGGTGGGGTGGGGGCAGGGCAGGGCAGCCAAGAGACGGTTGCTGACCTCCTCTCCATGATCCTACTCAGGCATGAGCTACCACGAGTTGGATGAGCGACTGGAAAATGACCCCAACATCATTATCTGCTGGAAATGAGGCTATTGTAGGCTGGACAAAGCATATGGCTAGGGCTACTCTCTTGCTAAGCCCTGCCTGTTGTATTGAGGGATTGACCAACAGACCAGTCCACACTGTCTCAAGGTTGACCCTCAGTTTTGTAAATAAAGTCACCCATTTCTACCTACCTTTATTGAGTACCACTTCTAAGCTGGGGCTACCAAAGAACCAGCTATGAATGAAATAGTCATGGTCCCAGTGCCTTGGAGTGCCATCTGGCAAGCAGGACCATCAGAGGATAAGTAAATGTGCCCACTTGAACCAAAATAAACATCCACAAAGAAATAGTAAGAAAGGTGTAATGAAAAGTGAATTGGGATGGGAACTGGACTGCTCTGGGGTACATGGGTAGGGAAGTCCTCAATGGGGCGGAAAGAAGGACCAGTACTCCAGGTAGAAGAAAGGTGCAAAATTCCCAAAGCAAAAACCGCATCGGGATGCATGAAGAACCTAAAGGAGCGTCTATGGCCCTGTAACATAGGAGGCAAAGGGAATGGGATCAAAGAGGGATGTCCTGACGGAGGAGGAGGTTAAGAGCTTCATACTGCTGAGCTGCTGGAGAGCTGCTGTGGACCAAGCATTTTGAGGGCCATAGGCAGCCACTGACTCCCTTCCCTATACAAGGGAAGCTTTAGGCTCCCTTCCCTATGCAAGGTGTATCTTATATACACCTTAAAGACTCCTGGCTGCTCAGGGTCAAAGAGTGGAAGTAAGCCCCGCAGCGGTTTAGACAACCTGTCCTGGAACGCAGAGTTGTGGGCCCAACACAGTATTTCGGGGGTAGAGCCCTCAGATGGAGCTGGGTGCCAGAAATCGTGGGGCGAGGAAGCTATAGAGAAGGTTATCGTGTGCGCTGAGATGAAGCGGCAGCAAGTGCTGGCGGGCTGGGGTTACTCATCCTTGTGCTCCACGTCCAAGGACACGTCCTAGGCCACGGGAGCCGAATTCAGAAAGGGCGCGTGCGTAGCCGTGGGTCGTGAGAAGGAAAGTGCTAGGACTCCAAACAGGTCTGCTACCTACAATCTGGCAGGCGGGCGAAAAGGACGCCAGCGGGTGGGGATCCGGTCCGCGCAGGAACGCGGCAGAGGCGGGGCCGGGACGCACTGCGCAGGCGCCGAGCTAGCCGTTTCCATGGCGACGAGAACTCACCGACCCACGCGATCCAACTGCTCCACAACCGTTGTGCGTTTGAGTTAGGTTCCTACAGAAGCGGTTGTCCCAAGTGTGTTAGCACCCCACTTCCCTCGTTACTGCTGCCTAGGGTCAGCCGACCCTGCCGTTCTGCTTTCTGGCCGGCCAGGGCATGGGAGACTTAGAGCTGCTGCTGCCCGGAGAAGCCGATGTGCTGGTGCGGGGACTGCGCAGCTTCCCGCTGCGCGAGATGGGCTCAGAAGGGTGAGGCAGCTGGATCGAGGGGTCAGACAGAATCATAGGGTCATATTCCTGGCGGGGGGGGGGAGGACTTGACTTGGGGGGAGGATTTGTGTGAAGAGCCCCCATGTGGGAAGGCAAAGCTTTCTGAGAGGAGATGGATATGGTCCTGAGCCCCTTCTAACATCTCTAGCTCAACTTGGGCTTCAGTAAGACCCAACCCCCACCCCCACTTCATCCCCACACATGTGCACCCAAATGCACACACACCCCTGCTCTGGGGCAGGTGGAACCAGCAGCATGAGAACCTGGAGAAGCTGAATATGCAGGCCATCCTTGATGCCACAGCCAGCCAGGGGGAGCCCATCCAGGAGCTGCTGGTCACCCATGGGAAGGTATGCTGGAATCACAGAGTTCTTGCCTTTCCACTTCCACACGTGCCCAAGCCCCACCTCACCACTCCACCCCTCAGGAACACGTCAGGTTCCTGCTCTCCCCCTGGCTGATATATCTGTCCAAAGAAGGAAGTGTGTGATACATTGGATGTCGTGTTTGTTGTGGACAGGACCTTGGCGCACCAGGCCAGGTTCCGGCATCGGTTGATTAAGATATGGTCAGGGATGGCAGAACAGCTCAGGCCCAGAGCGTCAAAGCCATTCCTGAATAGACTGTAAGGCAGAGGAGGCTCCCGCTGGAGTGGGGGTGGGACTTTGTCATGGAAGGAGGCTGCCTTCCTTTGGGGGTGAGAGAGAAACCAGGAATTAACCTGACTGGAAAATGACCCAGATAGAAAAGTGTTCTTCTGAGGGGAAAAAAAAAAAAAAAAAAGGTGGAGCCCTCTATTCTGAATAAGAGTGAGGTCAAGGTGGAGCCCTCTATTCTGAATAAGAGTGAGGTCAAGATACATAAGAATATAGATAATAAGAGTGAGGTCAAGATACATAAGAATTTTGGAGGGCACAGAGAAGAGGGACAAGAAAGTGGGCATGGGCAGGAGGCCTGACCTGAGAGAGACACCTGGATGGATCAAGGGGGAGAGGGTGCAGGTGCTGGGGGAGTAAGACAGCCTGGGGGTAAGGTAAGGACCTTGGGAGCATGGACAATGGGAAGCTACGGGGGTAGCCCCACAGAAATGTTGGGGCCACTTGAAATGAAGGTCTAAGCTACAGGGGAGTGGTTACTCGTGGGGCATGGGAGAGTCTAGGAGAATTTGAGCTGAGCCTAGGATGAGAGGACTGGCAGGCCAAGATAGGCCCAACTCACGCCTGTCCTATCTCCTGCCCTTCCAAGATCCCAACCCTGGTGGAGGAGCTGATTGCAGTAGAGATGTGGAAGCAGAAGGTGTTCCCTGTGCTGTGCAAGCTAGAGGACTTCAAGCCCCAAAACACCTTTCCCATATACATGGTGGTGAGCTGCGCCCTGGCTCATACCCTCACCCATCCCATCAGAGGATCCTGGACGAGAGAGGATAAAAGGTAGCCCTATCTCTCCCCCAGCAGCCTTGGGTCCCTGTCTTTTTTATCTGGCAGGTACACCATGAGGCCTCCATCATCAACCTCCTGGAAACAGTGTTCTTCCACAAGGTGAGGCACCATCCTGCCCCCAGGCTACTGCTCCAGACCTGGCCTGGCAGAAAGCCCTGGTTGAAGGAGGATATCAGAGACAGAATGCTTACCCTCTGCCTGCCTCTAGGAGGTATGTGAGTCAGCAGAGGACACGATCTTGGACCTGGTGGATTATTGCCACAGAAAACTGATCCTGTTGGTAGCCCGGAGTGGTCGTGGTGCCCCCCCTGAGGAGGAGGAGTCTCAGTACAGCAACCCCATGCAGGTGGGCTGAGGTTCCCTGGGCTCGACTAGGGCTAGTAAACTCAGACTCCACAAGGCCTGGGCAGGCAGTTTGAGCTGTGTTTGGCTCACCCAGGAGCTGCAAAAGCAGGCAGAGCTGATGGAATTTGAGATCTCACTGAAGGCCCTCTCAGTGCTGCGTTACATCACAGACTGTGTGGATAGGTAGGCCTGGGGTCTGCGGTGGAGGCCTGAGGTTGGGCTTGTAGCCTCTGCTCATCTCTCCCCACCTTTCTCTAGCCTTTCCCTGAGCATGTTGAGTCGCATGCTCAGTACCCACAACCTGCCTTGTGTCCTGGTGGAGCTGCTGGAGCACAGTCCCTGGAGCCGACAGGAAGGAGGTAAGCTCCTCCCCCTCCTGCTCAAGTCCCCAACCCAGAGCTTCCAAGACATCCTCCAGAATTGAAGAAAGGCATCTTGCACACAGTAGGCAAACTCTTCCCCCTTAGCCCACAGAGGATATCAGGATGCCTCACCCAAGATGGGTCTAGACGCTCCTGTACAGCAGGCAAAGCCCATGTGGCCACCACTGATGTTGACTGTGCTCTGAAGTGAGCAGATCCCCTGCCTGGGCAACTCCTGTGCCCAGGCATCAGTCAGTTCCCCAGACAGGCAGCTTCCTCACAGAGCATGCAACTCCTGAATTGTGTGCTGGTTTCTCTCCCCAGGCAAGCTGCAGCAATTTGAGGGTGGCCGTTGGCAGACAGTGCCCTCCTCAGAGCAGCAAAAGCTGAGGAAGTTGGATGGGCAGGTCTGGATTGCCCTGTACAACCTGCTGCTGAGTTCCGAGGCCCGGGCTCGCTACTGCCTCACAAGTTTTGCCAAGGGACAGCTGCTCAAGGTGGGGAACACATCCCACGCCAGCCCAAGCACTGTTTATCTTGCCCACCCACCCTCCTCAGCCCCAGTCCTCTTTCCTACCTTAGATGATGCAGCAACTGGTAGGACATAGGCACCCTCAGCCTAGCCTGACCTAGGCCTCTCTGTTCCTTCACCCTCTGGTCAACACTGACTCACACTGGTCTCCCCTGAACACCCTTGCAGCTTCGGGCTTTCCTCACAGACACACTACTCGACCAGTTGCCCAATCTGGCCGACCTGCAGGCTTTCCTGACCCACTTGGCACTAGCTGAAACCCATCCCCCTAAGAAAGACCTGGTATTGGAACAGGTAAGCGCTGGGAAATTCGTTGCTTAGGACAACCACCCACTTTGCCAATTCCTCCCGGCCACTCTCCACTTCTCTCCCCCAGATCCCGGAAATCTGGGAGCGGCTGGAGCGCGAGAACAGAGGCAAGTGGCAGGCTATTGCCAAACACCAGCTACGACATGTGTTCAGTCCCTCAGAGCAGGACCTGCGGCTGCAGGCACGGAGGTGAGGTCTGCTGAGCAGGCAGAAGGGGTGGAAGGCATGCAAAAAGGGTGGGCACGGGCAGGGGTGCTCCTGTGCTCCCATCTCTACGAGAGGCCCAGTCAGACCCTGCTGACCCCTTTCCCAGGTGGGCTGAGACCTACAGGCTTGATGTGCTAGAGGCAGTGGCTCCAGAGCGGCCCCGCTGTGCCTTCTGCCATGCAGAGGCCTCCAAGCGTTGTTCACGGTGCCAGAATGAGTGGTACTGCTGTAGGTGGGTATATCCTACCGCCCTGGACCCCACTCCCGTAGCTGCCCCAGGCACTGCCATCCTTACCGCCCCGCCTGCCTCCAGGGAGTGCCAAGTGAAGCACTGGGAGAAGCACGGGAAGGCTTGTGTCCTAGCTGCCCAGGGTGACCGAGCCAAGTGAAGGCTACAGCTACTGACTACAGGCCTCCCGTGCTGACTACAACCCATCCGGAGTGTGCTTGCTTCTGAACCTCGGAGTCCCACCCTGCAGGTGATGCGCATAGGGAGGTGAGGTACAACTGCTGGCCCCGTCTCTCCCAGCGCAGCAGCACTGGCTTCCTGCCCCACCCGCGGCAGGCTGAGGGTGATGCCTCAGCAAGCTGACAAAGAAGGCCTGGGCGCGGGGCGAGGCCCGGATGTGGGGACCCTCTTCCTCCAACACAGTAAAGCTGGCCTCCAGAAACATGCTTGTCTCCGTGTGGCCCGTTGTGGTCTTCGTAGTCGTCGTCGTTAGGGGGAGGGGACTTGCACACAGGATGAAAGGCGGGCAGGGAGGGGGAGCGGGGACTCTTCTGAGCTGGCTGCTGCTGCTGCCTCCTCACTCCGCCCGGCCTGCGGGCCGACACCGCCAGATTTCCATTGCACGGCTCTCCCCAGACGCTCTCCCGCTGCCGCCCTCCCGGCATCCCGGGGGCGGCGCCGCTTCAGGCCCGCCCCGGAGCCCCGCCTGCCCCGAGATCTCTGGAGCTCAGAGCGGGGCCGGGAGTCCCGGCCCGCCTTTGCCATGTCCTCGGAGCCTGAGCTCATTGAGCTTCGAGAACTGGCACCCTCACGGCGCACCGGCTTGGGCCGCACCCGGCTGGAGCGCGCCAATGCCCTGCGCATCGCGCCGAGCACCGCACGCAACCCCACGCAGCAGCTGGCCCCTGGCCGGGGCCACCGCTTCCAGCCGGCGGGGCCTGCCACACACACGTGGTGCGATCTCTGTGGAGACTTCATCTGGGGCGTCGTGCGCAAGGGCCTGCAGTGCGCGCGTGAGTAGCAGCCCGCACGCCGGCCGGTGAGAGTGAAATAGGTGGCCAAGGGTTTGCGCTGTTGCTACAGGTCATGCTGCAGCGTAGCGGGTGGGCGGGGGTGGTCTCAGGGACCATCTGTTACCTTTGCCCCACCGCGAAAGAGAGTGCAGGCCACCGTTTTATATCTTTGCCACTCCTCCCCGCGCCATCCGCCTCTGTGGCAGTGTTGGACAGAGGAGGTTGCCTGTGAATAACAAGGTACTGATTCCAAGTTTCTTCTTAAAGTGCCTTAGCCCTTCTTGAGAACGTCTTTGTGCCTACCAGCCTCTGAGTAAATGGCAGATATGCTCCGTCCAAAAGTTTCATTTATTGTGTTCCCTTCCAAAATGCCTGGGATGAAGGAAATTCACCCACCTTTGGAAAGGGGTCAGGCAAAAAGTAGAACCTTGGATAGGCCCCCTGAAAGCAGGAATTTTGTCGAGTCTTTATTTAGGAAATATCTACTGCAACCCAGTCAACCAGATGCTAAAGCATTGAAACCAACAGCCACACGACCATGTTCCTTCTGCCATCCCAAGAATTACAACCGCACCAAGCAGAGGTCACTCTCCTACTGCCAACACATCAGCTAGAACCACTTACGATGTCTTTATAGGCCTCCAAACCCCTCTGCCTGCACCCTACCTCAGACCTGGTGTATCAGTCACTGGGAGGATATCAGTGATTTTTAAATAACAGATTCTAGTGTGCAGTCAGGATTGAGAACCAGCGCTCTCACCCACTTGGGACCTTAGGGAAGTTTCTCGGACATGGAAATCCCATCATCTAGCATAGAAGTCTGACTAAACTCCGCTGGGAGGAACATGACATTTATGACAGTATACAAAACATAAACAAGGGCTGGGCCACTATTGTTTCCAAGGAGAAATAAAATGACCATGGAAATGATTAACAGGACAAGTTGAGGATGCGCCAAAGGCAGACACAAGGGAGGAATCAAAGATGAGTTAGGTTTGTTATATTTTGTTTTGCTTGAAACAACTGGGAAAATATGTTTTTGTTTTCTTCTGAGATGAAGAATTCCGGTGACAGTATGGGTGAAGTAGAAGGACAGCAAGTTAAAATTTGGCCACACTGCTTTGAAATATCTATTAGGTATCCAAGTGAGATTCAGATGCGGCATTTGACAAGAGTGGGGAAGGTCAGTGAGGGAAGTAGTAACCCCTTGGTTCTGTGTACTTGAATATACACCCAGCAGGGAAGTGATCAGGCCTGCATCGTGGACACCCTGGGAATTGAGACAAAACCAGCAAAGAAGCTGCAGGGAGGGGGGGAGGAAAACCAGTATAGTGTGAACTCTCCCTGGGAGCAAAAAGGAGCAAGCACCACTGATGTTGAGGTGAGGTTGCTAGGGACCCTAACCAGGGCAGTTTCCCAGGGGGAGGAATGGATGGAGGAGGGAATGAAGGTGAAGAATAAGTGTATGCAGACCAATATTCCTAAATTTTGGTGTGAGGGAAGAGACTTGACAAGGAGAGGGGGACATGGGTTAAATATTTTATTTCCCTTAAAGTAAAAGGGCGGAAGGAGGCTTGACAGTTGAAAGGGGAAGTTTTGTGCTAGGCCTGAGTCTCTAACCACCGGAGGCCTTTCCTGTAGCTTCCAGTTGTTGTGGGACAAAACACCATAGTCTCTCAACAATGGGTGGTAACAGTTTGTGCGACAAGGCAGATCACACAGAGCCCCTCCGGCAGTGGCCTTCACCCCGGCCTCCATCCTCCCCCACCCCGCGCCATGCTTCTCCGAGCTGCAGCTGAGACTCCAGTCTCACAGACAGACTTCTCTGCAGATTGCAAGTACACCTGCCACTACCGTTGCCGCGCTCGCGTCTGCTTGGACTGCTGCGGGCCCCGGGACCTAGGCTGGGAACCGGCGCTGGAACTGGACACCAACGTGGTGAGCGCGGGGCTGGTGGCGGGTGGGTGAGGCAGGGACCTACGGACGAGCCAGCTACACATCAGGCGTTCCCGAGGGCCGCCCGGCCGCCAGGCAGAACGAGCACTCTGAGGGCGCATTACTCTGCTGCAAAAAGTTGCTAACTCTGCCCACGGGCTCGAAGGGGTGCCGGGGGCACTTACACGGCGCTGACCGCCGCGAATCGCCTAGGTTCGGCGCACGCGCAATTTCCCGCACCCGCATCCGGGCACGCGGCGCGCGGTGCACATGCGCACACACTGACTCGTCTGCAGGAGGTGGGGCCTACCGGGCCGCGCCTAGCTGAGCTGCTCCCGCGATGAGATCATTTCTGGAGGCTAAGAATGTGCGGCCCCGCCCATCCAAGCCCCTCCCCCCCTCGGGAGACTAAAGTTAGGTCCCGGCTGTCTACGTTTCAGTATTAACGGTCGCGGCCAGGGCGCAGGTCTTGGCGCACGCGCACACTGACACGCACGCGCACACGCGCTTGGGGCGGTGGTTGAGGGTTTTAGAGGCTGGGGACTGAGGAGCTGGCGGGCGGCACGGGGATGGGCGAGGCGGACGCTGGGACGCCTTCTTTCGAGATGACCTGGAGCAGCACGACGAGCAGTGGCTACTGCAGCCAGGAGGACTCAGACTCCGAGCTCGAGCAGTACTTCACGGCGCGCACCTCGCTGGTGCGCAAGCCACGCCGGGACCAGGTGGGGGCCGGGGGTGGCGGGCGGAGGGTGGGCGTTGGGACCCCGCCTTACCTCCGTGAGCTGCCTTGGCCACCGTTTCCGGGCAGTCCCTCCCTCCCTCCTGTCGGCGCGAATCCCGGCCCGGCCTGGGCCAGCCCGCGGAGCCGAGTGTCGGGCTCCCAGCGCCTCGGTGTCGAGGGCCGCGGCCCCCTTGCTGTCTGTCCCAGACCGGTCGAACCAGGGGAGGCAGCTACGTGGCTCGGGGCAGACCAGGGAGGTGGCGATCTATGACTAAAGCCAACTGCGTGGCCGGGACCAGCACCACGATTTCCGCGTTCGCGTTCGGACGCTGCCACCCCCTCCTTTGGGAGACCCGGAGAGGAAGTGGAGGGGGAGGAGTCCTCGCCGGGAACTGAGAAGTGTGCTTTGGAGGCCGGGAAGGCCCGCGCCCTTCCAGTGTGCCCCGCGGGCCGGAGCCTACTGACCACCCGTCTCTCACCAGACCTGGTCTGTTACCAGCTGATGGAACGTGCAAGTTTCTGATTCCCCCCCCCAACCCCCCCCCCACGGTGTAGACCTGGAGAAAGGGGATTTGGGATGGAAATGAGTGAGATGGAAAGTTTGTTTTATAAGTTTTATAAACATCCAGGAGCACTTGATGAGAGGAGAATTGGAAAGGTCAGATTGTAAAGTGCCCTGAAAGAGTTCAAGGGAGGTAGGGCTACTAATCCAAAATCATGAGGTGTACTGGGGCAGCTTTACCTCTTGGAGTCTCCTAGGAGTCCCCATTATCGGAGACCTCTGTGTTGCGTGCCATGAGTGTAACTGCCAGGCGAAGATAATTATTTTAGGGATTAGTACACCTTAGGAGGGTGTCAGAAAAGGCGTGGGACCTCTCAGTACACCTATGAGCATTGGGGCAGAATTCTTTTGTAAGGCAAGAAAAGGAGTTGTGGATGATTCTTTGGGCAAAAATTGTCTACCTCAAAAGCTCAACCAGATCTTGGGTGCAAGGTTTGAATGTGGTTCCTTGGCCCTGTTAACCAAATCTGAGCTGTTTTCTACTGTGGAAAGGTAAGGAAACCCAAAGACACTAACCAGTTGAAAAGGAATGTGGGGAGTCAAAAGTCGTGTGTGAAATAAAACCACTGGTTACTATGAACAGTGGCAGATTAGAGGGTGAGTCACTGTGGTGCAGGAGGGGGGTTCTGTTGTCCTACTGTGCATCTCTTGGGGATAGCTTTTGGAATTATTCTACAGCAGACAGCTTTGAAAATGGGAAAGAAAAGGAATGCCTCCCCTTGAATCCTGGCAGGACAGTGCAGTGCCTGCAGTCCGAGTTCCTTGTTTTGAGTGAGATACTGAAAGAGGTTCATGTGTAGAAGGGAATGAGCATCCCAGTCCAGGGTTCCGGGTTGCCCAGGAAGAAAGAGGAAGGTTTCTCAATCCCAAACTCTTGGTGTTCAAAGCTGGAATTAAGTTAGTGCCATCCCTATGCCCAGCCTGTTTTGCAATTGGAATTCTCTTCCTTCCTGCCCTAACATTAGAGTCTATTCAACTTTCCTCCTACCCCTAGCAAACCCCCCCCCCCATCCCTGGTGCTCTTGCCCATTGGGGCATTCCTTTCTGCCCCCAGTCTGCTCCTTGGGCCTGAGCAAACACACCCATCCTTTATTCTCAACCTCTAGTTCTCATTTTACACATACACGCCCACTCATATCATTTCTTCTGACTGCCTTTACATAGGGTTTCTCACTATCCCCAACAAAGTTTCTATTAGAGTTTTCACTTCTCAGTGTTCTTCATCCAGGAAACCTTTGGAAACTTGGAAATAAGCTGCAGTTCCCATCCCCTTTTCTAATGAGGCCCCAACCTCTGTCCTCAGCTCTGAGTATTGCTAGCTGCCAAACAGCAACAGGTTGTAGGTGAAGCACATGCTGGTAAAAAGCTGTGGATTCCACCCTGGCATCCCCTCACCTATCCCCTCCATTCATCCCTGTAAGGTGGTTTAAGCATAGAGGGCTCCAAGGCAGCTGTCAGGGAAAAGCATTTCTATCCTGGGCACAGAGCTGGATACAGAATTATTTATAGGACACCTTCTTGGGAATTCCCCTGGGACAAAGCATTGGTCAGTAGTGATCTCAGCTGTCTGTAATACTTCCATTCCAAGTATGACCTATCTGATGTCAACAGGAAGTAAGACTGATGCAGTGGAGGGAAGTTTGGTAGAAGAAAGTTAATTCAGAGCCCTAGCCACCCTGTTCAGACTCCACCCTTCCAGCACCCTTCCAGCAAGAGTCCAGTGGAGGAGTGGGTGTGGGACAGTGGTGGAGCCAAAGTCTTTGGATAAACCTTGAGATAGTAGGGACACAGTGCAGGAGTCCATATTTGCTTGGCATTGTAAGACAAGTTCTACTGTGTGGTTGCGTCTGTGACAGATTGCAGCTTTATCTGAAGCTGCCTTTTGTGCAGATTAAGTGACGTGACATTTTACTGTTATGTCTGAGGCAGGTATGGTTGGCCCCAACTCCCTATAAAGGGGTATTAACATAGTAGAGATTGCCTTTCCCCTCCTGCCCCCTGGTGGCTGAGATCCTGTTATGTTTGTACCAGTCCCCAGAGCTCCCACCGTGCAGTAGGTCAAGGCTTTTCTGGGAGAGTAGCAAAACGGGCTGCCTTCCTCAGCACATATCCTGACCCTATCAACTACAGTGCTGGGATCAGGTTGTGCATTGAAGAAGTGTCTATCCTAGAAACAAAAAGTCTTAAGAGGCCCTTTATCTCTTTCCTGGCCCCTTGTCTTGTGATCTCATTTGCCTTAGTTTTGAGGTATCCCTATGGCCACTCCCAGTGCTAAGGAGGCCCCAGGCAGGTAGCAGAAAGAAGCCAAAAGGTTCTGCCTTTGCTCTCTCTACCTATAGCCAGCTGAACCCAGCCAGTGATGGGTTAACATCAAACCTAGGGCTTTGTTATAGATTGCCAGAGGCTGCCCAGAGGCCATCTTTCCCAATAGTCACCAAGGTATCACCTCCCTGACTGTGAAGTGCATTGTAGTGGGATGGATTCCTTAAGGGCCTATGCCCATTCTGGTCCACTTCTTTCAGGATGAATCAGTGGAGTGGGAGACAGCTGACCTTTCTCAGGCAGAGATTGAGCAGAAGATCAAAGAGTACAATGGCCAAATCAATAGCAACCTCTTCATGAGCCTGGTGAGTCAGCAGCCTGGGAAAGGACGGAACCCAGCTATATGCCTGATGTCCAAAGGGCTGTGTATTTGTGGATGGACAGTGATTTCACACCCAGTCCCTTACCTGGACTGGTAGTGCCCTAATCTGTACCAGCTCAGCTAAAACCTGGTCATAATTCAATCTTTCCTTTTCAGAACAAGGATGGCTCCTACACAGGTTTTATCAAGGTTCAGCTGAAGTTGGTACGCCCAGTCTCAGTGCCCTCCAGCAAGAAGCCACCCTCCTTACAGGATGCCCGGCGGGGTCCAGCACGTGGCACAGTTGTGAAGCGTCGCACCTCCTTCTACCTGCCCAAGGATGCTGTCAAACACCTGCATGTGCTGTCACGCACCCGGGCACGCGAGGTCATTGAGGCCTTGCTGCGAAAGTTTTTGGTGGTGGATGATCCTCGCAAGTTTGCACTCTTTGAGCGGGCTGAGCGCCACGGTCAAGGTGGGCTTCCCATTTAGCCCACTGTGTTGTGTGTGAAAGTATATATGCATGCGGGGGTGGAGAGGCCTGGCCCTGACGCTAACAAAATACTGCCTTGCCCCTGCTTGGCCCTCAGTGTATCTCCGGAAGCTGTCAGATGATGAACAACCCCTGCGGCTTCGGCTCCTGGCTGGGCCCAGTGAGAAGGCCCTAAGCTTCATCCTGAAGGAGAATGACTCTGGGGAGGTGAATGTGAGTAAAAATCCGTCCCTTAGCTTCTTGGTTGTCAAGAAGGGCAGTGTTGGTGGGTTGCAGCTACAGTAAGGCTTAGAAGAGGAATAGGGCTGGAGGATAAAACTTACAAGGTCTCTCAGGACTATGTGAATTTTATAGCTAAAATAGGCTTCCAGGCCGTTTGTGCAAGGTCTTGGGCCGGGAATAATTTTCGTGGTGGTTTGTTCTCTTACTCTGAAGAATCATCAGGATTTACAGAAGTCCATCTGATAGCATGGTGATCCCAGGTTAAATCAAAACCGCCCAAATGGGACCCATGCTATCGTAGATGCTCAGCCTTCAGGCATTAGGACTTTTTATCGGGAAGCTTCCTAGCTTTATGTAATTGAATGTATGGAGTGGGATTAGACTCGAGCAGGCATTTTCACAGGGAACTGGAAAACATCTGGTTTGGCTGCCTTTCCACAAGGTGTTAACTCTACTTTATGTGGTCCATTTTTTATTTGATCTGTTGTTGGGAATCCTAGCACAGATTGTTTAGGCAAGAACCTGCATCAGAAGACCCTGTCCTAGCTCAGTGGCCATGGAGCTTTTTTGGGGAGGGCCTGTGGGCTTGGTCATGTCTACTACAGCCCGTGTCCCTCCCCCTCTAACCGCCCCTGCAGTGGGATGCCTTCAGCGTACCTGAACTACATAACTTCCTGCGGATCCTGCAGCGGGAAGAGGAGGAGCACCTCCGCCAAATCCTGCAGAAATACTCCTTTTGCCGCCAGAAGATCCAGGAAGCTCTTCATGCCTGCCCCCTGGGGTGACCTCTTGTACCAGTGTGGGAGGAGGAGAGTAGGCAGCGCCTAGGGCATGCCGAGTGAATGTGACAGGGCCCGTGTGGCCTGAAGAATGAGTGTGCATGGAGGCCCTCTGTTGCTGAGGGAATGAGCCCAGAGAACAGTGAAGAAGCTGGCCCCCTGTGTCCACCAGTGGGTATAGCAGAGCTTGGCTCTGCACCCGTTTGCCCTTCGTTTACTGGGTCATGGTGGCCAGGGTTGCCCTGGGGAGCTGCTCTGCAGCAAGGGTAAAGCATACAGAAGTCTCAGTAATTTGTCTCAGATAAGAGAATTTTGGAGACCCAACACAGAATAAGGTTGTTTACAGGGATGAGGGCTACCATCTATGGAGAAAGGTTGTGTGTTTTGGGTCTTAGGGTGTCAGAATAGCCCTATCAAAGCCAAGGGTGGGTGTTGAAGGTAAGACAGGCATCTAGGAAGAATCTAGGCTTCCTTTTGCAGTGCCCTCCGACTCCTCACACATCCTGGGATCTGAGAGTGCTGGTTCATGGTGCAGCAACAGTGCCTCGGTGCCTCCTTTAAGGAAAATGTCCCTGGGTCAGGATTGTGAGTGTGGGTATTGACCCAGGTCTGTGCCTTGCTTGCCAACCAAAACCAGGGTCTTTCCTGCAAGTATTTTTGATAATGTGTGTGAATGTATGTACTATTTTGTGGCTTCAGTGGAATGCCTCCTGTGGGGAGAGGGGTGGGGTTTATTGTCATCACTAGTGCCTGAGAGAATTGGCTGAATAAAGATTTAAGAAGCCTATTTTTGGAATGTTTTATTATGGGTCCTCAGCTATAGTTGTCATGCCAGGGACTGCCAAGGGTGATAGACTCACAGCACCTTTGCAGTGTCACCATGGGAAAGGCCAGGGAGTAAGGATATGTACTCAGTTATCACTTAGTATCCTTGGGCTCAGTTTAGTGGAGGCAAGACTTGCAGATACATGTAGAACCTAGGGTAATCCTGACACACACCACACACACAGATGGCAGCTATAGCTAGAGAGTTCTGGGTAATCCGGATGGTCACACCACTCCCCTACCCCCCGTGAGGCACTTCATCAAATACTGAGCTACTGCCATGGATCAGACACTGTTCACTACACCCAGAGCGCAGCTCTAACTTGCTTTTATGAAGGGCGCATCCTGGTGGGTTTGTGAAGGATAAATATGAAGTTCTTCGGACCTGAGTGTAGCTATACGACATAGAGCAAATTCCTTAATTAGCCTTGGGTTCGGTTTCTCATTCTTAAAGTACTGTGGTGGTTAAGATTGGTGTGGGAATACAATGAATCCAGACGGCTGTTCCGCAGGATAGTCTGGGGTCAGGCACTTAAGTGCCGATTTGGGGAAACTTGGTGATCAGGCAGTCCCGATCGACCTGAATTCCGGTGATTGGGGACAGCGGGTCCTCCCACACACCTGGAAGAAATTTAGAAGCACCTACCGCTACCTGGGTGGGAGCTGCCTCAGCTGGGGAGAGCGAGGCCTGCTGGGACCGGACGTCCCACAGTGCATGCTGGGGTGGCTAGCGTTTGAGGACGGCTATTGGCCCGGTTCAGCGGACCGACAAGGAAAGCAGCCAATCAGACCCGGCAGCGTGAGGAAGCGGAAGTGAGGTTTCCGTGGAGACAGCGGAGCCTGCGGAAGGTGGCGGCGGCGGCGGCAGCAGCCGCACCTGCGAGCGGAGGCCGAAGCTGGGTATGGCGGTGCTCACGGCCCTGTGAGAGCTACTCGGCCGCGGGGCCCGCCATGCGCCGGCGGCCCTGACATGGGCGCCAGCGGCTCCAAAGCTCGGGGCCTGTGGCCCTTCGCCTCGGCGGCGGGGGGCGGCGGCCAGGAGGCGGCGGTCTCTGAGCAAGCTTTGGTGCGGCCTCGAGGCCGAGTCGTGCCCCCCTTCGTATTCACGCGCCGCGGGTAAGGGCGCGGGTTCCGCCCGGGGGAGGACAGCAGGGCGGCCGGGCGCCCCGCCCCATGGGGAGCTCCTGCCCCTTTACTGGGATGATTCCTATTTTGGGACCCTATGGGAGCAAATGGTGGGGAACGCGTGCGGTAGGCTCCTGGTGGCCTGCCTGCTGTCGGTGTCCCTAGGGGAAGAGGTTTGCTCCTGGGCAGGCTCTTTTCCAGAAAGCTAAGATAGGACTGCCTGGGCCTTCGGGACTCTTCCTTTCATCCGGGCCTGCAAGTTGAAGGCACCTAGCCTTTCCAGCCCCACCCCCGGTTCTACCTGGGGAGAATGATCTGATTTGGCTGTTGCCATTTCTCACCGTGGTGGGGTTGGGCTTGTGAGGGTAATAGACGGGGAAGCAGGCATGGGACCTGAGGCAAAAGACCCTCAGACAGGTATGTTCTTAAGATCTAGAATGCTGTCTTCCTCTTCCTCCTTGGAGCCCCAGACAGGAGCACTACATTGGCCCAGCCCTGGTGGGCCCTGGGGGACTGGCACTAAGGTGAGGCTGGAGATTTAACTGTAGCTACCAGGGAGACCCAGCAGAGGCAGTTTGGCTGCATCAACCTCCTGGGGGTGGGTAGGAAGGATGCAGCCTTTCTCCCTTAGGCTCGCTCCTTTCTACCACAGGCATCTGCTTTCTTAGGCATTGGTCCTGGACTGGCAGTGTCTTCTGAAGTGAGATAGACATGTCCAGGCCACCAACCTGCCCACTTTAGAAGTCCTGCGTGAAGGGCCTTGTATTGAAGTGGTTTTTCTTGCTGGGCAAACCAGAGATGAGAACTGGTCATAACTGCCTGGATAGTGTGCTCTGATAAGGAGTCTCTACTTGCCGCCTAACAGAGCTGGCCACCAGCCCACTCCCCACTTCCTTAACAAGGAATTTTGCAGACATATTATCCTCTTTTCTTCCCACCAAGGTTTTTCCTCCCCATTTAGAGGTGACCACACTCCAGATGGTCTGTGGCATTTGCCATGACCACGTGTGAGGCCCCAGCCCAGCCTGTTCCCCTCTCCCTCTACACAGCTCCATGTTCTATGACGAGGATGGGGATCTGGCTCACGAGTTCTATGAGGAGACAATCGTCACCAAGAACGGGCAGAAGCGGGCCAAGCTGAGGCGGGTGCATAAGAACTTGATTCCTCAGGTGAGGGGTTGGGCAGTGGTCATAGAACCTGCCTTTTGAGTGTGTGAAGGTAGACCCAGATGGGGTCTATTATAAGGGTGGGGGGTCTTGAGGGAGGACCTGGGAGGAACAGGAAGGCTTCCTGGAACAGGGGCCCTGAGCTGACCCTCACCAGCCTCTGTTTCCACGGCAGGGCATCGTGAAGTTGGATCCCCCCCGCATCCACGTGGATTTCCCTGTGATCCTCTATGAGGTGTGAACCTGGAGGGTGACAGGCAAAAGCACCCCTGGCCCCGGCAAGAACCCCCCCAGGTTCAAGGTGTGGCTTCCATTGAGGAACCTAGGCTGAGGCCACAACCCTGAATAAACTACATTGGCCCGGAACCTTCAGCTGTGAGCAGGACAGTCCTGCAATGTTGGTTGGGTATTGTTTTGTGTATGGACAAGAGGTGGCTGGTTGCTGGCGAGAACTAATGGCGGAGTTACCAGTCCACCTTCTCCAGGAATCCTTAAAAGGAGCATGCAGGGCATATACTGGTCAGGACTGCCTGGTTCCTGGGCCTTCTCCTGGCCTGCTTTCTTCCAAACACCTCCAGCCCAGCCCTGCTACGGGCTACAGCACTTTACAAGCAAGGTCTGCCTTCTTCCAGCCCCTGGGCTGTGGGAGTTGTAATCAAGTGGGAACTTCCTTTCCCTCATTTCCCTTACCCCCTTGTCAGAGCATTTCAGCCGTTTGCTACCTCGATTCCTCCTGTGTTGGACAGAGACTGGGGGCAGCACGAGCCTGATTCTTCCTGCCTACCTGCCCATCTGCTCCCACCCCAGATGGATGGACAGTTTACTGGCTATTAACAGGAGTAGGGATTGGGGTAAGAGACCTCTCTCCAACCTGGGCTGTTCTGATCCCTCTTTACTGCACCTTCTTTTGTCCCATCTCCCAGCCCCTACACCAAGTGAGGGCACAGGGACAGGGTCAAGAAGGGCTGTGGATGCCTGTGTCTATGGGGAATTGCCCCTGCCCACCTACTCTGATCTCCCTTACCGCTGCATTAGCTCCCCCACCTTCATGCGAGATCATCAACCATCCTACAGTTTCGATAGCATCCGAGGGCTGATGCCAATAACTGAGGAGACCAGTGCCCCTTCCCCTGCAGTATCCTCAGCCCTTCAGAATCAGTCAAGGGCAAGTACTGGAGTCCTTGGGTACGGACAGAAAGGCGAGAGCAACCATAAAAGGAATACTTAAAATGTGAAAGTCTGTAAGTAGTCTAGTCCATGTTGTTGGGATGGAGTCTGATTTCTCCATAGAAATGACTTTTTAAAATTCCTTACTGTGCAAGCTCTGTGCTTCAAGAATGTGGGAAATGGCTTGGGGAGGTTGGCCCCTATTCTAGAAAGGCTATTGTATTATTTGTTCAGTTTCAATAAAATTATTTGTAGACCCTGCATGCAAGAGTGGTACCTTCTGGGGCTGTGACTACTGGTGTCTAGACCACCTGCACTCAATGGGTAGACCTGGGTCCAGAACTCAGGGCTCCCATCTCCAACAAGCACCAGCCTAGTAAGCCTGAGCCCAGACTGTGGCCATCTCAGCCATGGCCAGCAGGTGGCAGTATTCATACAGACCTCACCTGGGTCCCCTCTCATGGGCCACTTGTCTGTTGTGTTCAATGCAGGGAGACCCCTAGAATTGGAAGGTCTTCAGGTGCTTTGGTAGGGATGGGCCCCACTTGTCTGACCTGAGGTGAGAATGTGGCTTCATAGGCCTCTAGCAGTGCCAGCTGGCCCTACATAAAGGAACAGCCTGAGCTCCAAGGCCCAACTTTAAGTGGACAGCAGCCACATGGGTGCCACTGTGTCCATGGCCTGCTGCCTGACTCTGCACCTCAAATTCATCTGCCTCCCAGACCTGCCTGATACCACCACCAGCATAACAGACTTGGGGCTTCTGTTCTAGCTGGCAGAGCTCTGCTATGTAATACTCTGTTGCCTGCTGCTTCTGTCTGCTCACCTGCATTCTCCTGCCCCATCCCCATCCCCTCCAGTGAACCATGTCCTGCTGTGACGCTGGTTCTCTGCTAAGCTTAGCTCTTGGCCATCAGCCCAACTCCCAGTTAGGGAAGAGGGACACAGCCTTCTGTGTTTGAGAAGTTGATCTGCCAATCCTTTGGAGGCATCAACTTGTCAAGACCAGAGCAGGATCACCCTTTGCAGCTTGAACTTGAAGTTCTTTTGTGGCTATGAGGCTGGTTCTCTTCTAAGCTTAGGTCTTCCTAGTTTCATGATAAGTTGACATACGTAAGACACTTTTATACTCCACTTCCCCCCACTACAGACTAGCCTAATGCTAGGGTTTGCCCATGCCAAATGGCATCCCGTCACCATTGTCCCAGTATAGGGAACTCCCTGTGCTGACCTCAAACTGAAACAATGGGGGTCACCCGCAGTACTTCCTCACTCCCTCCCATTAGACTGTGTTCACTTCCTTCCTGCTGGTTGCTTGAGGAAGTTCCTGCCCTGCACAGATCTGGCCTGGCCTTTGTTTCCCCAGCCGCCCCTCCCTTGGAGCTTTCTAAGCCTGTCCCTAAGGGAGCCAGCACCGTGGGACAGTGACACCGCCTCCCCACATCCTAGACTCCTTGATCCTCTCCTAGTTCACCAATTACACAATGTCTGGGCACCCGGAAACGGGATCAATGGAGTGTTGGGGGTAGGCTCAGATCAAGGGTGTGTAGATTTGTCCACACCTCTGGGTGGGCACATGCTGAGATCAGCCAAGTGATGATCACCCCCTTAGCCATGTTGTAAGGAGCCCCCTGCTCTGCAGTAACTCAGTGAAATCCACCCAGAAATGTCCACTAGCAGGAGAGCACGCTACAGAACTGTCCCATCCCTGCCTTTCCCCTCAACCCACACTCAATCACATCAACACTTTACCTATGTCATACGGCATGGGACACTTCCATGCTCAGTGTAAAAAAAAAAATTGACTAACTTCCTGGAAGTTCCCATAATCCCCAACCCCCACCCCAGAAATCATCCCTTTTCACCACCTGCTGTGGGGGACTAGCATCCCCTCCCCAGTAGCTTGACTCCTCAGAGCACCACTGTGGGGCCCCTCCATTCACATCCTTGGGAGGGAAGATTGGAGAGAAGAGTTAACCCTGAGGTGTTAAGGAAGCTACATGTCTGGAAAAGGCTGACGCCTGAGCTGTTCCATAGCCTTCCTGTCACCTGGCACAATTCCCCCCAGGCCACAGTCTATTGGGGAAGGGTGGGGAGGGCAGTTAGCCAGCTGGGCATGCTGGAAGGAAACAAGGTCAAGGCATCCCCCTCCCTTGCTCCTGTTCCTGGCCCTTTCCGCTGTCTGAGGGGCAGCAGGAAGTGAGGATAAAGGGCTGGGGTGGGAGGCGGAATGGGATGGGTGGGAGGGGATGGGTTTTATCAAGGCTCGGAGGGTTGCCCACGGGCAGCAGCTGGTGCAAATAGCTTGGCTGGAGAGTCTCTTCCCAGGAAGGAGGGAGGTCTTCAACTTACTGAGCCAAAGACTTACTGAGCCAACGGACCCCCCTCAAAGGTGAGCGACCCCCCTCAAAGGTGAGCGCAGACTACTGATCTGTACCACCCTAAATGCGCTCACTGCAGCGCTCCCTCTCTTCTCCCAGATATGCGGGCTGGGAATGGGGTGACAGTACAGACCGGGCCCTTTAGGGAGCTGAGCCCCACATAAAAGAGCAACCTAGAAAGAGGCCCAGGTCCAGCCCCAACTTGTTACCAGGTAAGAGGGGCTTACAGGGAAGTGACTTAGGAGACCAAGAGGAGCCCATTTGGCCTTGCCAACTTTCTCTGTGGTCAGTCAGGATTTTATACTAGGGTGGCAGCTTTCTCAGTGTTGAAAGGAAGCCCTGGGGGGGTTCCCACAGACCTCCTAGAGACTGTTATGGAAGAGACAAGAGTAGAGGGATGGGACTGTCCCAGATGCAGGTCGGAGACCCCGGGGGCACCCTATCTCCTGGCCTCAAAGGGCTAATTGGCCTGCACCCCCGCAGGCTGAGCTGCAGCGACCCCAAGCTCCTGTTGCCATGACAACCACCGCCTCGGCCCCGCCCAGGGAGGACGTGGAGGCGGATACTCAGACCCCTTCCCGAGTCTGGCAGGGGGCGGGGCCTCCCTTACGGGGGACGAGGGTGGGAGAGGGAGGAAACCCCCTGATCAGTAAGGGGTGAGGAGTTAAGTGTCCTGGCCAGCGAGAGATTGGCTTTAGTTACCATCTTCTTTCCGCCACTAAAGGGCCCCAGGACTAGGGTCAACGTTCAAGGTGCAAAGCCACCTGAGCTGCTGCCATGGCCAAGGCCATGGGGCCGGGGCGGGGGTGGGGGTGGGGGTTGGCGCGGAGAGCCGGGAACCTCCCACCTCCTTTATTCCCCTCTCTGGCCCTTATGTTGTCCCTTTAAGGGGCTGGCCGCACCGCGGAACGCAGAGGACTGTACCACTGGTGGCGGGCTGCGCGGGGGGGTGCAGGGGGGTCTAGCTCGTAGGCTGATTGACACTCGCAGCTGAGACTCCAGAAGAAAGCCCTGTTCCGAGGGGCCTCAAGGTCCCAGATGGGTAGCCGTACTCCTTGGCGGAGGATCTGGGGGCCTTGGGGCTTGAAACACCTCACCGGCGATTCAAAAGTAGGGGCGCCTTCCCGCCCCGGCCGCAAGTCCGCCAGGGCCCACCTCCGCTCTGAATTCTTAAAGGGCCGGAGGGCGGGGGGGCGGAACCAGCAGAGGCGCCGAGCCGGGGCAGGGCCTGAGCTGTCGGCCGGAGCGGGCTGGCCGGGGATGGCGGTGGCCATGGCGCGGGTCCCGGCGGCGCCCCGAGCGAGGTGAGGGCGGGCAGTGCAAGCCTGGCGAGCTCTGTCCCGGCGGGCTGGGTGCTCTGCCCCGGGGGATCCTCCCTGAGAAGTGCCCCAAAGACCCTACCCCCACCCGGCCAGACTGGCCCCACGTGCGGGGCGGGGGCGGGGTCCCGCACAAAGGCCAAGCGGAGAGCGCTTTGCCTGGGACCTGCCCGCCGGGCGCGCCGCGTATTGCCGGCGGCTGGGAAGGGAAGGGCCGGTCGGCGGCGCCGCCAGGGGAGGTCCTGCTGCCCCCTTTGTCCCCACGGGGCCTCAACCACGCTTGGGAAAGTGCTTGGTGCGCTCGAGACGGAGACAAAGTGCTGACAGCCTTGCTCTTCTGCTGGGCGGGTACTACACGTATACCAGCTCCTCAGTTTTCAGCAGGCTGGCCTCTGCGTGGGCTAGCTGTGCCCTGCCGCAAATACTGTTTTTCTTTGGACCTTGAGAACTTCACGGGGTGCAGAACGGGGCCCGTGTTTAGGACTCCAAAATCCCGTACTGGGCCGTATGCAGTCATGTGTCTGTCTCGGGGCAGTAAGTCCGTGGCCCAGTTTGTCCAAATCTCAGAGGGATCACAGACCTAACTGAAGCCACCTGCTCCAAGAAGGAGCCTTATGTTTCTGGCAGTCCCCAGGGCATCTTGCCGGCCCCCCCTTGTCCTGTAGCCTCTCAGAACAGCCCTGGGCACAGTGAGCCACCGAGCATGGCCTTTGGGAATGCAGATGGGTTTGCAGGGGTCACCTCCAGGGTCCTCCAGACTGACTTGCTCTCTCCCATCCTTCCTACAGGTCCTGAGCTGGTGTCAGGCAGGTGACACTGTCTTCCTGCAGCCCCCAAGCATGTGGGCAGGCCTGGGCCCCGCCGTCACATTGACCCTGGTGTTGGCGGTGGCGTGGGCCTCAGAGCTCAAGCCCACAGCACCACCCATTTTCACAGGCCGGCCCTTTGTGGTAGCATGGGACGTGCCCACACAGGACTGCGGCCCACGCCTCAAGGTGCCACTAGACCAAAAGGACCTGAAAGCCTTTGATGTACAGGCCTCACCTAATGAGGGTTTTGTGAACCAGAATATAACCATCTTCTATCACGACAGGCTGGGCCTATATCCACGCTTTGACTCGGCCGGGAGGTCTGTGCATGGTGGTGTGCCGCAGAATGGCAGCCACTGGGCACACCTGAAGATGCTGCAGGAACACGTGGAGCACTACATTCGTACCCAGGAGCCTGCAGGGCTGGCAGTCATCGACTGGGAAGACTGGCGGCCTGTGTGGGTGCGCAACTGGCAGGACAAAGATGTGTACCGCCGGTCATCACGCCAGCTGGTGGCCAGTCGCCACCCTGACTGGCCGACAGACCGCATAGTCAAGCAGGCGCAGTATGAGTTTGAGTTCGCTGCCCGGCAGTTCATGCTGGAGACGCTGCGCTTTGTCAAAGCAGTGCGGCCTCGGCACCTCTGGGGCTTCTACCTCTTCCCGGACTGTTACAACCATGATTATGTGCAGAACTGGGAGAGCTACACAGGCCGCTGCCCTGATGTTGAGGTCTCCCGAAACGACCAGCTGGCCTGGCTGTGGGCCGAGAGCACGGCCCTCTTCCCCTCTGTCTACCTGGATGAGACACTCGCTTCCTCTACCCATGGCCGAAACTTCGTCAGCTTCCGTGTTCAGGAGGCTCTTCGTGTGGCCAACACCCACCACAAGAACCATGCACTTCCAGTCTATGTCTTCACAAGACCCACCTACAGCCGCAAGCTCACAGGGCTTAGTGAGGTATGTGCCTTCCAGGGCCTTCTGCCCACTTAGAACCACTGCATGGTTGGGTTGCTGGGAGCCCATGGCACTGGCTACTCGAAATCCCCTCACTTCATTCTCTGTGTAGCCTCATGACAGGATGGCACCATTATCCCCATTCTGCAGATAGGAAATTGAAGCCCAGAGATGCTGAGAAATTTTCCAGTAGTGGCCCAGCAGTTCCAGGGTTTGGACCTAGGCATTCTGACTTTGGAGTTCATCCTGATAGATATACCCTAGCCTCAAGTGTGTCCTTGGCTTGGGAAATAGATGCAAAGTGGGGATGGAAAGGGGAGGCCTGGCAGCTCTCTTGCCACCTGACTATGCAGGTGCTCTGTTCTCCTTTTCCTGATAAGCCTGTCCTTCTAAAACATTAAAAAAAAAAAAAAAAAAAAATGGGGGTGGGGTCCTCCCTGGTGGTGAAGGGGTTAAGTCTCAGCATTATGAAGCTATCAGCAGGTGGACTGATGGGCTGATGAGGAGTTCCACCCACTTCCCAGGCCTACCTGGCAGGGCAGACCCCTCCTGTCTCACCTGCTGCTCCCCCCAGCAGTGTATTTCAGTCAGTCTGCCTGTTCTGCTCCCCGCTATGTCTCTGGTGAAGCCTCTCACCATCCCTTGCCCCCTGCACCTCTAGCCTACAGCCCAGCTCTTGTATGCATGAATAAATAAATCTTAAAAAACAAATAAAATATTATTTTTTAAAAAGGTGAGGGAAGGGGCCCTCCCTGGTGGCGCAGCGGGCTAAAGCACTGCACTGAGAAGCTAAAGCCACTTCCGCATGAGTTCAATTCCCGCCTGCCCCGGAGGTGACCACATGGTGTGGCAGACCTCTCCTGACCCGCCCGCTGCTCCCCTCAGCAGTGTACTTCGTCGATCTGCCTGTTCTGCTCCCCACTCTGTCTCTGGTGAAGCCTCTCACCGCCCCGAGCCTCTGGCCTGTACCCCAGTTCTGTATGCATAAATAAATAAATCTTTAAAAAAAAAAAAAAGTGAGGGAAGGACTGAGCTACTGGTAACAAGTCCAGCAGGATGGTGGCTGTCCACTCTGTCTGTCCCTCTTGCTCTGCAGTCAGTCTTCCCCAGTGACCATCCCCTTCCCACAGATGGATCTCATCTCCACCATTGGGGAGAGTGCAGCCCTGGGTGCAGCCGGTGTCATTCTCTGGGGTGATGCAGCGTATACCACCAGCAATGTGAGTAACACCCACCCAGCCCACTGGAACTGAATCAAGGGACAAAGAGTTGGGGTTTTGGCTACCAGCCTCAAGGTGGGCAGATAGCATAGTGTGTCCCCCTTGTTTGTCTCTCACCCAAGGCATCCCTCTATCCCTCTGTCCCCTCCCAGGAAAGGGGACGGGCTGTCTTGAGCAAATGTTGTGTTGCACCCTTCCCTTCCTGCCCTGCAGAGCGCCAGCTCGGCCCCCACCCCTTCTCAGCAGGGGTAGCAACAGTGAGGGCTCCAGTATGTGTGTCCCTGCACATACAATTTCTGTTTCAGCCTGTGGGCTGAGGCGACTGACCCTGAACCATGATCTTTGCTCCCAGGAGACCTGCCAGTACCTCAAGGATTATCTGAGTCGACTGCTGGCCCCCTATGTTGTCAACGTGTCCTGGGCTGCCCAGTATTGCAGCTGGACCCAGTGCCATGGCCATGGCCGCTGTGTGCGCCGAGACCCCAGCACCAACACCTTCCTGCACCTCAGTGCCAGCAGCTTCCGCCTAGTGCCTGGTCAAGAACCTGGCAAACCCCAACTACATCCAGAGGGGGAGCTCAGCCGGGCAGACCGCAACTACCTGCAAACACACTTTCGCTGCCAGTGCTACTTAGGCTGGGGTGGCGAGCAGTGCCAATGGGACCTCAGGAGAGCAGCTGGGGGTGCCAGTAGGGCCTGGCCCACGTCCCACCTCTTCGGCCTGCTCGCTCTGGCAGCCCTGGTCCTCACCTGAACTTTGTAGAGTCTCTCCTGGCTGCCATGCAAGCTGGCCTCTGCTACAAGGGCTGTCAGGTGTTCGCAGCCTATATGGGCTGGACAAACTGGAGTTGGGAAGGGGTGGAGCCCCTGGGGTGCCCAGTGGGGTGTCCATATCAGCTCTCATCCCCCTGTTCTAAGGGGGAAGGGCAGCCCCCTGGGAAGTCCCTTCTCTCCCTGGAGAGAGTAAGAGGGGCACAGCTGGATCAGGGAGGAGCTGACCCTACTCCCCTGCCCTTGGATAGTTTATTATTATCATCATCATCTTCTTGGAACTTCTTTTGTAAATTAAATATAAAACAGCTGCTTCTGTGCTTGGATTGTGTACACCTAGGCCAGAGTATGTGAGAGAGATTCCAGGGTCTCCCGTGGGACTGTAGCACAAGTCTTGTCCTCTGAGATGCTGGGAACATGTCATCTGGAAAATGTGTTCACTGGCACCTGGGGGCTCCGGGCTACCCTTCTCTGTAGTTGCTCTTCTGCGGCAGGGGCCACTGGGGGTGGAGGGACTCACAGTCCACCTCATTACCAAGGAGCTTGTGTTCTCCATACTGACCAAAAAGGACTTGGCCCCAACCTTGTGTGTGAGACGGAGCTCCCTGGGCTTCTGCTTGGCTCTGTATCCCCAGCTGGGTCAGTACAGGAGGCCTCGCCTTGCCCACCCCAGAGAGAAAAGGGGAAGTGGATGTTTGATCTTCCCTGGCTGGGCAAGAAGCCAGACCTCCCTGCTGTTCTCACAAGCAGGAATGGATCTCCCCACCTCTCTGCTCTGCAGGGAGTGGACAGTCGCCACACACCTCCCCCATCGGATCCTCCCCTGGGTATGATGGGAGGGAGGTAAACAGGCGATTGGGACCTGAAACCTGAGGTCTAGTCACACACTGTGGAGACACATGATGGGATTAGAGTGTGACATCCTGAGCCTGGGAACAGGGACATCACAGATGAGAGAACACGGCTAGCCCAGCTCTCACACGGGAGAGAAGAGCAGCCGGGGCAGCCAGAGCAGCTCTGACCTGCCTCACCCCCTCTGTGTCTGAAGGGAGTTACTCTGGGCGGGTCCCTGCCCCTCTCAGCCTGTCCCTGTCAGTGTTAGCTCAGCCCCCGCTTTAGGAAACACTGGCACTGGGGAGACAAACTCAGCAACAGCCAAGTGGTGAGGAGAGCCGTCCAACACAAGGACTCCGGAGAGATTGCACCAGGAAGTAGTCTGCCGTGAGTTTTGAAAGGTGAGGGGGAATTCCGCTCACTGCAAGGGTCACACTGCAAAGCTGTGACCTGTGCCCACCTAGCTATGACCCTTTTGTACAAATCCGATCACCTCAGGAGGCCTGGGGGACATCAAGAACTGTCCTGTGGGCAGGTGAGGGAGTGGGGAGGGAGGTGGCTCAGGGCCGAGGTATGCACAGCCAGAGCAAGCAGGCTGGGCTGGACCCTGAAGCTGGACTGACTCCAGGTGCACACACACCCCACTTGTGCCAATCCAACCAGCCCAACCTGGCAGTAGCAGGCCTGTGGACAGAGCCCTGGGTGGGGGAGGGCTTAAGGCACCCCCAGCTTCTTCCTGTTATTCCACTTCCAGAGCTTCTCCCTGGACCGAGTCCAGCTAGTGAATGCTGACTAAATGTGCCAGTTGCCGCATTAGGCTCCTAGGGACCCAGGAGGTAGCACGAGCCTCATGAAGAGGGCGTCTTCTGTCCACAGCCTTTGGGAGTTGTGCCAGTCTCTCTGGGCCTAATGGTCATCACCCTGGGATCCTGCTTCCTGAACAGGAACAGTGTCCACCACCCCTGGCTAGATGGGGTTGTGGCTGATGTGCCCACAGTCCCCAGCACTCTGGACACCCCCTCCCCTTTAAACCTACCAGCTTCTCCACCCTAGCCATTCTGGAGAAACAAGCCCATCTGGTAGCCAGCTGTGTCACTGCACCAGTGTTCACTGAGGAGTTGGGGGTGGCGCTCAGGCTCAGACTTCCACCTGGGCTGGAGGCTTGACATTCTCTCACCCCACCCTGGCAGGCAAGCCTGGGCCTGACAGGTCTCAGTAGCCAGCTCTGGAGCAGCAAACAAAAACCAGAGGAGTGAACAAGCACATGGTCATGATACTCCATTCTGTACCCATGGTCACACAGTCATCAGGTCTTAGGATCACAAGACAACAGGGTCTCACAGCCTTGATACCTGGTGACACATACACACCACTGGAGTCATACAGCAGGCCAGACGGTCACTAGCTGGGGCTTCACAAGACAGAAGCGCTCACCTTACACATGTACAAAGGGTAATGCTGCAGCCCTGATTTCACAGTGCCTTTCAGAAACAGATCCCAAAGTAGGAGTGGCCGCTTGGGCAGGTTAATCAGAAGTGAAAATATATAATCAATATATATTAATATGCCCACTCTGCATTACATTTGTCTTTATGTCAACAGCTAAATATTTTTCTGAGGAACAGACCTGCAATGGTACCAGCGCCTAGGGCTCAGCAATGTCTTGCTGGAGCTACGCAGGGCAAGCCATTCCTCGGCTCCCCTACTTCAGCACCACAAAGCCACCGGCCACCCAGACAGCCCCCCTGTACTGATCCCGCAGGACAGCAGGAGGCTCAAATTGAACCACGAAGCCCCACCCCAGTGCTGACAGGGCAGGAGGGGCCACTTCCGGCCTAGCCCCGCCCCCTACCCAGGGCACTTTGCTAGGGATACAGATGACTGCTCCCTGGCGCAGCCCTCCAATCCAGGGCCAGCCCCTCCACCCGCCCCCAGACTGGGTGGCGTGACCCCTACAAAAGCTCAGAATTTCCAGCTGCAGCTTCTTCCTCTCAGAGTCCCTGATGCGTGCAGCTGGAGCCATAGTTGAGGAACTGAATCTTGCTGAGACAGCCTAGGCCTTCACTCTGGGGTAAGAAGTTTGGAAGATGAGACCCTTCAGCTCTGAGGTCAGCAGGGACAAGTGGGCAGATTGGCGGGTGTACAGGAGGGCTGGGCCAATCTGTCTTCAGTCACTGACCATCGCTTCTCTAGTGGCCAAGATTGTCAGGGGAAGAGAAGTAAGCGCGCACCCCTCCACACACAATTAGTTAGATCAGCCTGGGAATGGAGGGTCCAGCCCTCTGCTTTTCTCAGAACGGGATACCATGACTTCCATGGCTCTTGGGGAGTGGGTGAGCGTTGGCCAAAGCAAAGCCTGTGGGAGACAGGGCAGAGACCCCTTGAGAAGTGCCTCCATGCATCCTTTGCCCTCTGACCTTCCTGAGCCTTGCGTGTCAGTGTTAACCTGATGCCAGTGCAGAGTGGATTAATGAATAAGGGGTTTGACCTGTCTGCCCTGAGCTGGGGTCAGAGTTCAAGGCCAGCTCTGTGATCTGCCTCCCCGGCCAGGTTTCCCTAAACCAGCCCTGTGTCATGGCAGCCCATCTGCATCCCATCTGCGTCCTCCTCCTGACCTTGCTCGGCGTGGCCCAAGGCTTCAGGGACCCTGCAGCCCCCAGCCAACCCTTCATCACCATCTGGAATGCAAACACCCAGTGGTGCCTGCAGAAGCACGACGTGGATGTGGATGTCAGTGCTTTTGATGTGGTAGCCAACCCAGGACAGAACTTCCGTGGCCCTAACATGACCATTTTCTACAGTTCTCAGCTCGGCACCTACCCCTACTACACATCCACTGGGGAACCCGTGTTTGGTGGCCTGCCCCAGAATGCCAGTTTGGATGTCCACCTGGCTCACACCTTCCAGGACATCCTAGCTGCCATGCCGGAGTCCAACTTCTCAGGGCTGGCAGTTATTGACTGGGAGGCATGGCGACCACGCTGGGCCTTCAACTGGGACAGCAAGGATATTTATCGGCAGCGCTCACGGGCCCTGGTACAGGAGCAGCACCCCGACTGGCCAGCTCCGCAGGTGGATGCCACAGCCCAGGACGAGTTCCAGGAAGCTGCGCGGGCATGGATGGCAGGAACTCTCAAGCTGGGGCAGGCACTGCGGCCTCAAGGCCTCTGGGGCTTCTATGACTTCCCTGACTGCTACAACTATGACTTTCTGAGACCCAATTACACTGGCGAGTGCCTGCTGAACATCCGTGTCCAGAATGACCAGCTGGGATGGCTGTGGAACCAGAGCTATGCCCTCTATCCCAGTATCTACATGCCTGCGGTACTGAAGGGCACAGGAAAGTCACAGATGTTCGTGAGACACCGTGTGGGTGAGGCATTCCGTGTGGCTGAGGGTGTCGGGAACCCTCATCTGCCAGTGCTGCCTTACCTCCAGATCTTTTATGAAATGACAAATTACTTTCTGCCCCTGGTGAGTTTCCTTCTGGGACCCCACCCGTCAGGCAGTAGGTTCAGTAATGGAGGACAGGCCTTAGGTCACTTTAGGCTTAAGCACTTTCATCCATTTATCTCAAGTTCTCAGAGCACTGTGCTAGGCACAGACGATTCAGCATTCCTCAGAAAGATGTTCCCACTTGCATGACACTCACAGGCTAGAGTGGGGATGGGTTTGCCTCTGTCCACAAGGAATGGGAGCAGCTCCGGGGGGCTTATGAGTTATTTGTCCCACCCAGAGGTGTTGCTGTAATCTGATGTGGGAGGGAGGGAGCCCCCACAGACCTGCTGTCCCCGTCCCTAGGATGAACTGGAGCACAGTCTTGGGGAGAGCGCAGCCCAGGGTGCAGCTGGAGTGGTCCTCTGGGCAAGCTCGGGGAGCACAAGGACCAAGGTGAGCGCAGGTGGGTGGTGGGGCTGCCTTTGTTTGGCTGGAGAAAACTTATCCCCACCTTTGTACCCCACAGTCCTGGCTGGCGACAGGTGAGTGCCTCAGTGCCCTAAGAGGGGCCCATGCATGACTATGGTGTCCCTGATGTTCACCCTCCCACTCAGGAATCTTGCCAAGCCATCAAGAAGTATGTGGACACCACACTGGGGCCTTTTATCCTGAATGTGACCTGTGGGGCTCTTCTGTGCAGTCAAGCCCTATGCTCAGGCCATGGCCGCTGTACCAGGCGCCCCAGCCACCCTGAGGCCCTCCTCTTCCTCAACCTCGCCAGTTTCTCCATCTGTCGAAAGGCTAGTGGTGGCCCCCCAACTCTACATGGTGCACTCCCCAGTGAAGAGCAGCAGCGGATGGCTGTGGAGTTCAAATGTCGCTGCTACCGTGGCTGGAGAGGAGCATGGTGTGAACAGCAGGATGTGTGGTGACTCACCACACCCTGGGATGCACACTTCCAACACCTAATGTACTCTGGGTCTGCCCACAACTTTCTTAAGTAAAGACAGTCACACCAGTGATGATCATAGTCAAGAGTATATTCGGCGTCAGTCACGAGCCTATGCTCTGCAAATGCACACAGGCTCACAAAGATAGCAGCATAAGGGTTAGTGTCTCAGGCCCTCCCTGGTGGTGCAGCCGGGTAAAGTGCAGCACTGCAGGCGAGCTGCAGCCCCTTCAGTGCAAGTTTGATCCCCATCCCGGAGGTGACCCACATGGCACAGTACATCTCTCCTGACACGCCCACTGTTCCCCTCAGCCTGTTCTGCTCCCCACTCTGTCTCTGGTGAATCCTCTCACTGCCCCTGCACCTCTGGCCTGTACCCCAGTTCTGTATGCATAAATAAATCAATCTTTAAAAAAAGAGTTAGTGTCTCAGGCAGACACCATCTGCTCTGTTCAGACATCCCCAACGTCTCCAGAGACAATGAGCCAGTCTTCAAACGTCCCTAGAACTGATATTCACGAAATGCCTACTCTCCATCAAGTTCTATGAGCATTTCAAGTAAGCTAGCTCATTCACACCTACTACAGCACTATGAGGAAACTGTGGTAAACACAGGAGGGTAGGCACTTTGCCTAAGGCCAGAAAAGGGAGAAGCCGCAAAATCAAACCCAATGGTTACAGAGGTAGAACCTTTGAGCTCCTACCGTGTGCAGATGGTAAGCAGCCCTGCAAGACCCCTGATCTGCTCAGCGTTACCAGCCACGGCAATAACGCAGACCTAATTCTTGTTCAAGAGTTGTTTATTGGGTGCCAAAAATGTATGCGCGCCGGGAATCCAAAGGGTACAGGGAAGGCTCGACTCTTATCACTCTGATGTGTTGTCTGTTCGAGAGCAGCTGCTTCCCGGGAGGGGGTGGGGGAGCCCAAGTTTTAAGAGGAAGCTCTACCTGCGCGCTTCCACGCGGGCAGGAGGCCAGCGGGAGCCAAAGCAAAGCCCCGCCAGGGTGATGACCCTGAGCGCGGGGCGGGGCGCGGCAGAAAGCCCAGCTGGTAGGGTAGCCTGTGTCCAACCGAAGCCACTTCAGTTGCATTCAGGCTGGGTCTCCGCGGAACGGAAACGAGGCGGGACCTACATGTGACGCCAAGTAGCCGAGACCCTGCGCGCGCGGGACCGGGGGCGGGGCTAAGCCAAGGGAAGGTGGAGTCTGCGCTCAGCCAGTGCCGAGGCGCGGGGAGGAGGGGCGGCAGCGGGGCCAGAGCGGAGAGCCGGTCGGCGTGCGCACCGGGTTATGACGTGTACGTCTGGGGGCGGAGTCCGGCCGCCCAGGAATCCTGGCTCGCTCGCCGAGGCCGAGGGCTGCAGTGCGTCCGCCGTACCGCTAGGGGCTTCGCGGGCAGACGGAGCAGTTCGTGCGGGAGACGCAGCGAGATACGAATCAGTGCGGAGCGAGGACGAGGAGCATCCCAGAACCCAGTCTAAACATGTCAGTACTGCCCCCGGCCCCCCTACGCGGCGCGTCAGTCCTCATTGTCCTCGCGCTTCCGGTGCGCTCGCGCTCGTGCTCCGCGGTGACTGTGCCGCCTCGCAGCCCCCCTGCTTCTGCCCTCTCCCAGAGCATGTCGAGCCACACCCACCCAGAGCCAAGCTCTCTTGGACCCGAACCCCAAAACGCCACATTTTGGGAGCAAGTGAGAGGAGGGGGAACCTCTGCTCCGAGACAGGGTGCCGCCTCGGAGGGCCTAAGAGCCCCGCCCCACAGTGGGTGATGTCAGCACTAAAGGGGTTAAGCCCGCGGGGAGGTTTGGGGCTCCAGACCTGAAGGCGGATCCTAAGCTTCCCCTTGGTCAAAGGGTACGGCTCTTGCCGACGGAGGTGGCTGATGAAGGTGAGGGGCTTGGAGTTTTCTGAGTGGGAGATGAGGGGGAGGGCAGGGGAGAGGGCTACCTGTACTGACCACTGTAAATAGAATCGGCCTCAAGTTCAGGGGGCCTTCCTGAGGAGGTAGGGAAGGGGAGCCACAACATGCCGGTGAATAGTACAGGGCTCAGCCGCGCCCCACCTCCAGAAATCCTCCAGCATAAACCTTTCAGCCATCAGTGTGATGGGCAAACACTGGTGTTTGGGAACAGGCGATTCAGGCCCTGAACGTTTGTGGCAGTTGGATACTCCTGTGGATTTAGGAAGGAAACTGTGGTCCTTATCTAAGGTACTTAAGAAATTCAGACCAGTGGGGAACCAGACCTGCAGGAGACACACTGTTGTGTGGCTGTGTGCCAGGCCCTTTGCTGGTGCTACTGGGACCCTACCTGAAGGGACAGTTGGGTCTATGCCCAGTCCAAGTGTCTTGAACTGGGCAGTGTTGGAGAAGGGGTCATGGGCTTGTGTGCCAGGTGGAAGAGGCAGTCCAGAGAGATGAAAACCTTGTCTGAGGGGTGATTGAGTGGTAGCCCAGGGTCAATTAGGTGGCTGACGTGACCCAGGTAATCAAAAATGCTGGGACCTGGGATATAAAAAAGGAGAGACTGGCAACTCTGTTCCTTCCGGGCGGGGGGTGGGGGGGTGGGGGGGTTAAGCAGAGTGTCATGCTGTCTGGTTTTGTGTGGCCGGCCTAACGGTCAGCTAGCTGGTGTAGAGACTGGATCAACTGTCCTTCAGAGGATAAAGTTGTAACCAGAGCAGGCTGGGACTGGCACTCTTGGGTTCTGCCTCAGCTTCTAAACAGCTTGCCATTACCCTCAACCCCCATCCACTGTGAAGCAGGGCATACCCTGGACCCATTCCTTCTGCTCTCCAGCAGAGTCAGCTCCCTCAGGTATAAGGAATGGGTCCCCTCTGCCTCCCCTCAGGTAAATATGGGGAGCTCCAGGTCCCCTCTGCCTCCCCTCAGGTAAGTATGGGAGCTCAGTGTTTCCCACCACCCCCCAGTTCCAGGAAGCATGGCACCCCCACCCCTTGTACTGTTAGCTTCTCCCTGCCCAAAACCCCATCTGCTCTCCTAGCACAGCCCAGCATGGCTGTTGTCCACAGGACAAGCACCCTTGTGGTCTGAGACGATGCCACTGCCTGGAGACCATGGCTTTAGCCCCCCAGCCTGGCACTGAACCATCTGCAGCCCAGCAGGAGATGACCTTGACTCCCAGCCTGACTCAACTGAGCCTGGATCCTGTATACCAGCCAGAGCTGACCCTGAGCCCCAGGCTGGCTGAGCTGACTCTGGGTTCCTCAAGCCATCCAGAGATGACTCTCAGTCTTGGTTCAGCTGAACTGACCCTGGATCCCGCACATCAGCCAAAGGAGACCCCAGCCCCAAACCTAGCTGAGCTGACTCTGGAGCCTGTGCACTGCCGACCTGAGCTCTTGGAAGCCTGTGCTGACCTGATCAATGATCAGTGGCCCCGCAGCCGTGCCTCCCGCCTGCACTCCTTGGGCCAGTCCTCAGACTCCTTCCCCCTCTGCCTGATGCTGCTTGGCCCTGGGCCCACACCCGAGGCAGCACCCATTGTAGTGGGTCATGCCCGCCTGTCACGGGTGCTGGACAGGCCCCAAAGCCTCCTAGTAGAGACAGTGGTGGTGGCTCGGGCCCTAAGGGGCCGTGGCTTTGGCCGCAGGCTCATGGAGGGCCTGGAGGTGTTTGCTCAGGCCCGGGGCTTCCACCGGCTACACCTCACCACCCATGACCAGCGGCACTTCTACAGCCATCTGGGATACCAGCTGGGTGAGCCTGTGCAGGGCCTGGCGTTCACCAGCCAACGACTGCCTGCCACCTTGCTCAGTGCCTTCCCCAGTAGCCCCAACATCCGACCACACTGCAAGACCACTACTCCTAGTTTGACTGCCCACAATGCCCTAAGAAGCCTCAAGGGGCCATCATTGCCACCACCCCCTCCCCTGCCTAAACCCATGACCACCTTACCCCCACCTCCAGCAGGGCCCCTTCCACAAAACCTGCTGAAATCACAGTACCAAAACCTGAGAGGATGTCCCATATTCTGGATGGAGAAGGACATCTGAGGGCCACCAGGGAAAGGCACTATATTTCTGGGTCAGTGGACTGCCCAGGACAATACCAGCTTCCGCCCACTAGCCCCTGGAGTCAGCTTTAGCCTGGGCATGTTGCCTGAATGCCAGTGGAGCCAAGAGATAACGCCGTGTCTCTGGCTCAGAGCAGTCAGTGTGACTGAATAAAAGCTTCTTTTGGGTGTGGCTGTGACAGTTTATTTGTTGGCGCCCACCCGTATCTCCCTGCTTTGGCTTAGGTGCCCCATCCCTATAGGAGCCCCTAGATCTACCCTGGAGCTGGAACCATGGATAGAGGGCATTTGCCCTTTGCCCCTCCACTGTGCCAGGCTCAGGGACAAGGTTGGCTTCCACATTCACTCATTGCCACTTACTAAACACTTGCTGTCAGGCCCCACGCTGAGCACAGGCAATGGGGAAATAGAGACAGGGTGTCAACTCAAGGGGACAGACAGAGGCGTAGAGCAGCGGGATCCACGCCGGGACAGTGGGAGTCCAGGTGCCCGCACTCCACCTGAGCGTCGCGGATACCTCCCAGGAGAGGTGCTGTCAGGAAAGACCTCAGTGCAGCGTAAGAATAAAGCCAGGAAAGGAAGGTAGCAGCTGAGTGTTCTTGAGACAGGATACAAGGGCAGAGTAACAATGGAACTTGTAAGAGCTGTGGGTGGGTAAGAGCCAGAGGGTGCAGTGGTGATAGGACAGAGAAGACCAGTACAAGAAGAAAGCTGCCCAGGCCAGGCTGCTGTGAGAAACTATAGGTCTTCTGGGGGACCATGCTTTCCCCACTCCCTGTCTTTCTGGGAAGGAGCCTTGGGGTTTACCCAGCTTTCCCCACTGTATGGAACATGTGGCCCTGGACTGGCCTCTAAGCTCATACCCCCTCTCTCCTACAGGTTTCCATCCCGGGGGCATGACCATGCAGCTAGGGCGCACTCTGGTGCTAGTCCTGGCCCTGTGCCCGGGGTACAGCCAGCTGCAGCTTCAGGCCCCTGAACGCCCCTTCTCGGTGCTGTGGAATGTACCCTCAGCACACTGTAAAGCCCGCTTTGGGGTGCCCCTTCCATTAGAGGCCCTGGGCATCATAGCCAACCATGACCAGCGTTTCCATGGCCAGAACATCACCATCTTCTACAAGAACCAGTTTGGCCTCTATCCTTACCTTGGACCCGGGGGCACAGCTCACAATGGGGGCATCCCTCAGGCTGTGCCTCTTCACCACCACCTGGTACAAGCCGCCTATAAGATCCACCGCAGACTGAGACCCGGCTTCGCTGGCCTGGCTGTACTGGACTGGGAGGAGTGGTATCCACTCTGGGCTGGGAACTGGGGCCGCCGCAGAGTTTATCAAGCAGCTTCGTGGGCGTGGGCACAGCAGGTATACCCCCATCTGGACCCCCAAGAGCAGCTCCGCAAAGCCCACACTGGCTTTGAACAGGCAGCACGGTCACTGATGGAGGACACACTGCAGCTGGGTCAGGCCCTGCGGCCCCATGGGCTCTGGGGCTTCTATCGCTTCCCGGTCTGTGGCAATGGCTGGCACGGTGCGACCTCCAATTACACAGGCCGGTGCCATGCAGCTACCCGTGCCCGCAACACCCAGCTGCGTTGGCTCTGGGCTGCCTCCAGTGCCCTCTTCCCCAGCATCTACCTCCCACCGAGGCTGCCACCTGCCCACCACCAGGTGTTTGTCTGGCACCGCCTAGAGGAAGCCTTCCGTGTGGCCCTCATTGGGCACCCACATCCCCTGCCTGTCCTGGCTTATACTCGTCTCACATACCGGCGCTCTGGGAGGTTCCTGTCCCAGGTGAGTGAAAGCTGTGGTCCAGGGTCTGGGTGGGAAGGCATGGTCTTGTATTGAGTGAGTCTGAGGAGAAGGCATTTCCTAGAGGGATTTGAAGGAAAGCTGCTGATTTTGTTCTGAGGGGGCAGACCTGTCCTAGAGCAGCTGACGAGGAGGTTTGCCCTTGATCTTGAGGGGAAGGCAAGGCCAGTTTGGAGCCCTTGTCCTAAGGGCACATTCTCTGAGTGTCAGGGTCTGAGAAGCTACTCGGAGGCCCAGTGTCAGTTAGCCTGACTCTACAGTTAGATTGTTGTCAGTGAGCCAGGAAGCTGCTTGAAGACAGAGGCAGGCTAGGATGGATATGGCAGCAGCTTTTTGTCTTCAGGATGACCTTGTGCACACCATTGGCGTGACTGCAGCTCTGGGGGCAGCCGGCGTGGTTCTCTGGGGAGACCTGAGCTTCTCCAGCTCTGAGGTGATTATCGCCCCATCAGCTTGCCACACAGCCGGTGTTGTGGCCCTGGCAGGGTAGAGACCATGTCAGGGCCATGGAGAAAGAGAACTGATGTATCCTTCCCTTCTCTTCAGAAGGCATGCTGGCGTCTCCACGACTACCTAGTGGACATCCTGGGCCCTTATGTGGTCAACGTCACCAGGGCAGCCATGGCCTGTAGTCTCCAGCGGTGCCATGGCCATGGGCGCTGTGCCAGGCAAGACCCAGGACAACTGGAAGTCTTTCTGCATCTGCAGCCAGATGGCAGCCCTGGAGCTTGGGAGTCCTTTGGTTGCCACTGTTACTGGGGCTGGGCTGGTCCTACTTGTCAGGAACCCAGACTTGGGCCTCGGGCCAGGGATGGGTCTGAAGAAGCAGCATAAAGCCAGGATCACTTGCCCTGACCCTCTTGACCCTGCATTTTCCCAGTTCTGAAAGGAGGACTGTGTCCCATTCATTGCTTTTAGCTTATAGTCCATCATCCTATGCACGCACCCCCACTTCTTAGAGGATCCCTGGGGAGTGGGAGTAACCAGAAGAAACATTAAGACCACTTGAAAACCAGAGACCCTCTGAGACTACCTGCCCTCCGAACAAGGAAGCTGCTCCAGCAGCTCAGGCTTCCAAAGCGGCTAGGGTTGCCTTCAAGACCTCTACTTTTACCTCACTGGATCTCCGGGGAGGTCACAGGATATCTGTTCAGGGGCACGTGGGTCCCAAAAGTATTTTGGCCAAGGTCTCCATAATTGCTAAGCTATTGTCTATACTCTGCTTTCATCATAAAGTCTTTTTCACTGCCTGAGATTTGGTGGCTGTTCCCCTGTCCTAACAGGACCCACGATCTTCCCATCAGGAGTACCCAGGAAAGTGTCCAGTGATGCTGGTTCTGCCCTGGCGGCAGCCCCACGGGGCCAGCTTCAGCGTTAACCAATGTGCTAGTGTGCCCGCGGGCGGGTGGGGGGGCGGGGAGGGGAGGGACGGTATAGCATTGTGGGTGCATAGTCCAGCGACAGCATAGTGGGGTTATAGGTCCCGGGAACCGACTACAATTCCCAGGGTACTGTGTGTCCTGCCGGCAGGCAGTAATCTGCGCGCTCAGCCCCTTGGGAGCAGCAGTTTCAGCAGCGCAGATGTGGGTGTGAGCTGTATGGCCAGGAACTCGCCTTCCCAGCGACCAGTTTGGCAGGGCTGGGCGTTTCGACCCGCTTGGCTGGGCGGGGCCCCTCGGCGAAGATGGTGGCGCGCGCGGCTTGTGGCTCCCGTCGTCTGCCCAAGTCTCAGCTCACCGTACGGGCCGGTGTCTCGCTGATCTGGAGCCCCCGCCCGCCGGGCCCCTGACCCCGCGCCCCGCTAGCGCTAGCCGCGCCTGCCGAGCCTCACCGCGACATGCCCCGCGCCCGCAAGGGAAGCGCGCCCCGCAAGAGCGGCCAGCGCCGCAGAGCGGGTAAGTGGAGGGCACGGGGGTAATGACAAGAGGGGAGTGGGCGCCCGCCCTGCGTGGGTCCTCGTCCCCATGGGCCCTGGGGTCGGCACCCCTGCCTCCACCAACTGGAACCGCCATCAGCAGCTGTCCCACGGCTAGCACGTGCCCCAGAAGGCAACGACCACGTGTGTGCCCAACTCAGCGCACAGTGCGCCGCCGTGTCGTGTCGGAAGCCTGCACCTCCCCGCCCCAACGCAGTGGGCAGCCCCAACGCAGTGGGCAGCCGAGGGTCTGGGTTCCCCTATTGCTACTCCACCCCAGTTACCTACTGTGGTGAGCCAGTTCTCCATAGAACACCGGAATCCTGCTTCCTCTCTGAGTTTGATACCTTTCTGGAAGGTATTGGCGAGTTGGTTGGAGGTCTGCCCAGGACAACTGAGGGAGGGGGACGTCTGGAAACTGCAGATTTGGGGTCTTAGCAAACCTGACCCTGAAGAGAGGGAGAATGCAATGGAGTCAGAGGCAGTGCTGAGACTCACTTATCAGCGCTGACCAGAGAAGGTGCTGGTGTGGTAAACACATATGTTTATACTGCAAGGATGGGTGTTGATAGGCACAGCTCAGACCCAGTCACAGCCCTAATGGGGCCTGGGTAGGGGAGACCTCTAAGTGGCCAGCAACATTCCAGAAGGAGCTGGGGGACAGCTTCACTGAATGACGCCAGGCATAGGAACCAAGGGAGCCTCAGGAAAGGACTTGTGGAGAACCTGAGAGGGTGAAGAAGAGAGTGGGAGGGAGGAGCTGTGCAAAGGCATGGCATGGGGAGGGCTCCCAGCACAGCTGCACGGACCAGGGAGGCTGGACTCCTTTCGCAGGTAGAGCGGTGAGGGAAGAGGTGAGCACAGGCTGATGTGCTGGGCTTTGTTTAACACGGACACGTGAAACGTGGTTCCTGAGAGTTTAGGTCAGGCTGGTGACCAGAATGTGCCTGAAGCTTTGCTGCAGCAGCTGCAAACCTTAGCCAAAGTTAGCCCCTGGCCCTGGGCAGAACCCCTGGGCAGTTCTGCTGACCCTGACAGTCCTCTTTGTTTACCTGTTTTCAGGGGCCCGTGTCATTAGGGGCCACTTTGTGTGCTTGCAAGGTCAGGAGAAGCAAGTGTGTGCTCTGTCCACCCATGGCTGGAAGGCCTGGGACATATGGACCAAGGGGAGCTTGAAAGAAAGTATACTTGAAGCCTAGGGTACTCACCACAGCCATTTGGAACTGGGTTTCTGCCCTGGGGCAAATGGGTAACCTGGTAATCTTGTTGGCACACAGAAGACTGTAACTAATCACTTGTTTATTCTTTGACTTCACTTGCCCTGCCTGGAAGAGGTGCTTTTGCACCTGAAACTCAGGCTTTGAAGGCTAGGCACCTGACTTGGTTCCATCCTTGTTAACAAGTAAATCTGAGGCTTGAACCTTGACACTTCTCTATAACCTAAGCCCTTGACCCTTGCTCTGGCCACTTTGGGGCATAATCTCGGCTGGTGACTAAGCTCCCCTGGTGTTTGTCTGCATATTCTCCCACTCCAGGTTGGGCAGTAGGCCCAGTGGGCGCCTGTACAACCTCTTCCACCTCACTCTGGCCTTCAAGCTCCTTGAAGCAGCCTCTGTCTCAGGGAGGCCCTACTCACTGAGCCTACTGGGTTTTCCCAGGCTGGGCTGGAGGGTGCCTCAGATACACCTCATTCCCTTACTCCTGACTCCTGGCTTAGCATCGCTGCCATCAGACCCCACGCATCCTTCATTAGCCTCGGTTTTCCCACCTCTGAGAAGGGCCACATTTGCTGTGGAGTCCTGAGGCTCGGTACGGGAGCCCCAACTGTCACTTATGAATGGAGGCAGGCCAAGTCCTGTTCCACCCACAGGTGCCCGAAGCAGTGCCCAGGCTGACTCAGGTTCCAGTGAAGATGAGGCAGCCAGTGAGGCATGCAGCACCACCAGCGAGTGCCCCAGCCTCCTGAGCACTGCCGCAGAGGACAACCTCGGTGAGAGCCAGGGGCTTTGGTGGGGATTCAGTGGGGGCTCTGTGGGTCACAGCAAGAATCAGGGCTGACCAGCTGGCCTTGCAGGGGGGGATGCCGTGGATGAGCAGGGCCAGCAGGAAGACCTTGAGGAGAAGTTGAAGGAGTGTGTGGACTGCCTTACCGACAAGAGGTACCCCTGACTGCCAGCTGACCCCACACCATGTCCTTGCTTAGCCCATCCCAATGGTTACCTTCATGGGGCCGGGCCGTGTGACTCTCCTCTTCACCCCTCAGTGCCAAGACCCGGCAAGGTGCACTTGGGAACCTCCGCCTGACCCTGGCATCCCACCTTCTCCCTGACTTCTTGCTGGAACGCAGTCTCACGTTGACCGATGCCTTGGAAAAGTGCCTCAAGAAAGGTTGGTCCTAGGGGCGCATCAGAGGCCTGAACTGGCTGAGTGATGACCCTGCTGTGTGGACTGACCAGAGCACATCCCTGCAGGGAAGGGCGAGGAACAGGCCCTGGCCGCTGCCGTGCTAGGCCTGCTCTGTGTGCAGCTGGGCCCTGGACCCAAGGGCGAGGAGTTATTCCACAGCCTGAAGCCCCTGCTGGTCTCTGTGCTCAGTGACAGCACCGCCAGCCCTGCTGCCCGACTCCACGTGCGTGTCCCCTTGCCTCCTGGCACCCCGCCCTCCCCAAATCCCAAAGCAGAGTGGGTTCCATCAGCCTGTAGGCGTCCGTGCTCTGAGGGTGAGCCATGACTGGGTGCACAGGCTCTGACTGCTCTGGCTTTGCCCTCCCCCCACAGTGTGCTTCTGCTCTTGGTCTGGGTTGCTACGTGGCTGCTGATGATGTCCAGGTAAGTGTCCTTTGGACGAGGGAGTAGCGCGCCTAGGTCCCAACTCTGCCCCTGAGCCATTTCCCCTGCCTCCCTGTGCCCGTAGGACCTGGTTTCTTGCCTTTCCTGCTTGGAAGGTGTTTTCAGCCGGTGCTGTGGTCAGGGGAGCCCTGCGGCCCCTGCGGTCCCTGCCAGCCTGCATGGCCTGCTCTGTGCTGCCCTGCAAGCCTGGGCATTGCTACTCACCATCTGTCCCAGCACCCACATCAGCCAGATTCTGGAGAGGTAGGGGCAAATGCCTACCGGGAATGGGAGGGGACAGCTGAAGAGACCCCCAGCTCACATCCGTCACTAATCCTGTCTCTTCCCCAGGCAGCTGCCCCGGCTGCCCCAACTTTTGTCTAGTGACAGTGTGAACCTGCGGATGGCAGCCGGCGAGACCATCGCCCTGCTTTTTGAGCTTGCCCGGGACCTTGAGGTGTGAGAGACAGTGGGGTGGGAGGAAGGGTGCCTGTTAACAGCACCTGCTCACCCCAGGCTGGATGCAGGGGGTGCCACAGGAAACGGGGCAGCCGTGGGCACCGTGAAAGGGAGATAACCCCCATGCAGACTCCAAAGCTCTGTTCTGGGAGGGGACCCCTGAGTAGCCGCGTCGGGGCTCATAGGGCCAGGCAGAGAAGGAGATTGACTTGTTCAGTGAAAGAAAAGGCTTGGGCAACCCCATGTTGAGAGCCCACAGCGCTCAGGCCGCCGCTCACCCGCCCTGCACCGTGCTCGCTGCAGGAAGACTTCGTGTACGAGGACTTGGAGACCCTCTGCGGGGCCCTGCGCACCCTGGCCACCGACAGTAACAAGTACCGTGCCAAGGCCGACCGCCGGCGCCAGCGCTCCACCTTCCGTGCCGTGCTGCACTTTGTTGAGGTGTGTGTGAGGACATCTTGTCCTGGGGAGAGTGTCCCCAGGCGCAGCCGCAAGCCAGGTCACACGGGCCCTTCTGCCCTGCAGGGTGGCGAGTGCGAGGAGGAGACGGTCCGCTTCGGACTTGAGGTGCTCTACGTGGACAGCTGGGCTCGGCGCCGCGTCTATGCTGCCTTCAGGGACGTGCTGGGTTCGGGCATGCACCACCACCTGCAGGTGGGGAGGCGGACGGGGAGGCCGCCCAGATGGCTACTCTGAGCTGGCCCGAGCTCACTGCCTTCTTTGCCCCCAGAACAATGAGCTGCTCCGTGACGTCTTTGGCCTAGGCCCTGTGCTGGTCCTGGATGCCACCGCCCTGAAGGCCTGCAAGATCTCACGCTTTGAGAAGGTTTGCACCCTGGGGCACCTTTACCCTCCCTCCGTTTCTGTGGCCTGGAGGCCTGGAACTCCCGGGGACTGGAGGAGAAGCCCCGCCTCCCCCCACCAGAGCCTCACTCTCGCTTCTGCCCCAGCACCTGTACAACGCCGCCGCCTTCAGAGCCCGGACCAAGGCCCGCGGCCGCATGCGGGACAAGCGGGCGGACGTGCTGTGAGGCTGGACCTGCCGAGGTGGGAACTGTCCACACCCTGGCCCGTGTTTTTAACAGAAGACAGTGCAGCAACTGGTTCCTGCCAGGAACTGTCACTTTATTTTTTTAATGGCAAAACCAAAAACAGACACGGGAGTGGGCGGCTCTGAGCCTTTGTCCCTGCACTCGGCCATGTGGCGCTTCCTTTCCTGTCTCAGGCAGACGTGTGCCTGGCCCCAGGCTGGGGGACAGGCAGCCGGGGCGCGCCCTTTTTTTTCTCTTCTTTCTCAGGTCTTTCTTCCCTGGGATGAACCATTTCCTTTGGGGGGACAGCATCTGGACAGATGCCACCGTAGAAGGTGGGGAGGCAGGGATTACGGGAGTGAGTCTGTGGTTCGTGAAGGTGATCGGAGATAATTAAATTGAATGCTCAGCCCTCTGTAGCCCGGTTCCTTGCTGTGCCGCCTGCCCTCACTCTCCATCCGCCTCCCCGCCGGGTCTCCTCTTCCATCTCTAGGCCACCTTTGCCCTCCATTCAACACGGCTTCTCTCCAAGTCCCCTCACCCCCACCCCAGCCCAGCGTGTCTTTTTGAGCTGAAGCTAGACCCCCCACTAAGAGACTTGGCAGAGTTTGGGTGACTGGGGTGGGAGCAGCTATTTCTAGACTTCTGAACCTGCTATCTGGGGGAGGTAGAGGGTGCTGCCAGACCTTGGGAGCAGCCAGGAGGCTGTGTCACTTCCTGGGGCCTTGGCACCAGAGGGTTGGCTAGATTGGCCTGAAGAAGTCAGGACGTGAAGAAGTCAGGACAGGCGGTCAGCTGTGGGGTCACATCAGATTGTTGTATAAAACCTCACTAAGGCAGTAATGTGGAGCAGCAGGGAGCGAGGAGAAACCTGCCAGGGACCACTTTATTCTCTCACACACAGCAGGCCCCAGTTCCAAGCGGCATCTCAGCTGGGAGCCCGGGCCTCGCTGGAGTTGAGCCTCCGCAGCTGGCTGAGGCTGGCCAGCCGGAGCTTAAGCAGCACCTCCTCCTGCGTGCGCAGTGTGTGCGCCAGGATCCGTAACGATTCACTCTGCAGCACTGTGGGCAGGCAGGGGCCGGAGGTTATGAGACCGCTGCCACCCCAGCGCCCACCAGCCAGCACCGGAGGGTGCTGCAGCCCCTTCCCCACCATTCGGTGTCTCAGCCTCCACAGTGGCAACTCGCAACAGTGCAGAAAAGGCTCCTGGGGCTGTGAGTTTGTAGGTGACTTTCCTTTTCCTGATAAACCTGTCCTTTCAAAATGTTAAAAGAAAAATGGCCAGGCCCTCCCTGGTGGCACAGTGCTTTAAAGCACAGCACTAAGAAACTATCTGCAGCCACTGCAGCACGAGTTCAATCCCTGGCCAGGGAGGTGACCCACATGGGGCAGCAGACCTCTCCTATCTCGCCCTTTCAGCACTGTATTTCAGTCGATCTGCCTGTTCTGCTCCCCACTCTGTCTCTGGTGAATCCTCTCACCCCCTGCACCTCTGGCCTGTATCCCAGTTCCGGCATGCATGCATGCATATATCCATCCATCCATCCATCCATCCATCAATAAATAGAAAAAAAGGCCTCCTGGGCCCATCTCCTTGCCCTCGGTTCCCCCTGGCTTCCAGTGCCAACCTTACCACTCAGGTAGACAGCCAGCACAGCAAGCGCCAGGCAGGTGAGCACCAGCAGCGCCAGTAGTATCAGGAAGCCCCCACGGCCAGGGCTGCAGCCAGCCTGGGTACACAGTGACGGTGGCAGAATGCCCAGCAGCTCGTCCCATGACTGTGCCTCGTCGGCCAGATAGGGGCGCAGTGAACCTGTGGGCAAACAGGGCATCGGGAAGGTGGTGGGTACTTCTGCTTTCTGTTCTTCCAGTGCATTTGTCCCGCCCCCTGCCCCCCTCACCTCCACTGTGTAGGTCACTGATGGACTCCACTGGGTGCAGACGCACCTCCTGCACGTGGTTAGGGGCCATCGGCGGCGCCCTGTTCCTTGGGCTCGGGGTCCAGGTTGTGGTGTCTGCAGGGGCAGTTGGCAGTCGATTCAGCCAGCAGGTCACCTCCCTTCTGGGTGGCCTCCAGTGGCAGCAGGAACTCAGATGGGGGACAGGACAAAGGAGCATTTGGCCCCTAATCCCCTAAACCCAACTCAGGAATGACCCTTGATTTTGAGCCAGGATGACCCCAGAAACCCGCAGGCTTCCACACGGTCGCAGGGGATCACTTGACTTGCTCAGTGTTGTATTTCCAAGTACCTCAAGAACTTTCAGGGGTTCCTCCATCTGCTCACTTCTCTGAAGAGTTTAGCAGCCGTGGGAGACTAAATTTACAGCTCAGGGAGCCCATCCCTGCCTCTTCTGCCATCAGATTTCCCCACAGGCCCTGAGTTAGTCACCAGGCCAGAACAGGGCCTGCACCTTCCCTGGGTCCCCAGCAAGGGGAGCCAGTTCTGGCCTCGGTGCCTCTCCTTTCTCTCCTGGCCTCCCTCCAAGCAGGCTGGATTCTGCTGCATGTGTGTGAACTCTACTGTGTTCGTGCAACATCACAAGGCCTGGCTCTGCCCCTGCCATCAAACTGCTTCGCAAGCTTCTGAGGTCGCCTGGCATCCCTTGGAGGCTGCCTGGGCATGATCTTTTCGGAAGTAAATAACCCCTAGAAAAGGATACCATTCAGCATTTCATATTTTCCCAATTTCCCAGTAGTTATTAAGAATTGTCTCCCAGAAGCAGAAGAGTAGGGACTTTTTGCAAGCCATCATCAAATTGCCCTCCAGAATGGCTCTCACAGCCCCCGAAGGAGCCATCACTGCTGTTGAGTGTAGGGGGGAAATGTATACAGGTGCTTGTGCACATCTATTTGCTAAGTCGGGGGATGAGAGAGGCCTTTCTTGAGCAGTTTTATTTCCTTGCCTAGCGGGTTCTGCCTATGTGTGTGACTTCCCTAACTGCTCATCACAGCCTCTGCCCACTTAGTCAGAGGAGTCTGGGCAATTGTCTTGTTTTAATTACTGGTTTTTGAGCCCATCAAGACATTTCTTTTATGATTTCTAAATATTATATTTTCTTCTGGTTGTTCTTTGGCTTGATTTTTTAAAAAATCAAGACCCCCCAGATGCCCAAATGGCATCTTAAGACCCCCAGATGCCCAAATGGAAGCTGGGTAACAAAATGGGAGGCATTAAGGGGATACCTGATAGGAGCAGAAATGACCGGACTCTGGGTCAATCCCTTCCAGAACAATAGTGACTGCTGTCATGATTTGCCTGCAGATGGTCCCTGATGTGTTCAAAGTAAGTAAACAAAAACAGATGCTGCCAGTCTGGGTGATGGGTTGGAGGGTTGGGAGTCATTACATTTCCTTTTTGCATTTGGCTGTGCTTTTCCCACACTCTCTAAATTGAATTTAGAATATGTCTTTTACTAAGAAAAACACAATAAACATGATTGTTAAGATCCCAAAAGGAGGCAAACACCCTTCACTATTATTACCAGGAGACACGTCCCTCCCACCCAGAGTACAATGTTGAAAATGTGGTGGGGGAAGTTGACCAGTGGGAGGCTGGAACATAGTCCCTGAGGTTCCCTGGGGTCCTGCTCTGGCCCCAAGCTGCTGTGCTTCTTACATGCAGTGGTGCAGTTAGGTGAGCGACCACCAAAGTCTTAACGAGCAGCCAGTCTGGCAGCTGAACAGTCAGTTGGGGGCACTTGGCCCAAGTTAGAGGCCAGAGTCCTGTCCACTCCCACTCCCTGGGCCATGTGCCCAAATGCTTCCTGGAACTTCGGTCCATACCAATCCCAGCTTCCTCCCTGGAAGAAGAGCTGACCTGGTCAGGCAAATGTCCAGCCCACATCCACATAGGCACAGCCTGTAGTTGACCCACCTCACTGGGCTGCTCCCCCATATTTTTCCCTGCTGTCTCTAGCAGGATGAAAAGGGCCTGAGGTAAAGAGAGGTTCAGAGCATGGCAGGTTATTTCCCTTACTGGAAGCTGAGACTTTACGGGAGGTGGGACTAGGAGACGGGTGAGTAGTCAAGGAAGCCAGGTCATTAGGAAAAGGGGCAGGTTTCTCTGAGATCCACGGGCTCACAGCACTGGGCCTTTCCCTCCCTCACAGCCATCTCCTACCTTCTCCGGTCTCCTCGGGCATGGTGGGTAGTGGGCAGCCAAGGGGCCGATGAGAGTGCTCAGCAGCAGGACAGGATAGAAGCAGCGTGACTCCTTTGAGAGACTGGGGAAGGCCTGCCCACCTCCTAGTCTGAGCCTAAAATAGGCCTGAGCTCAGCCCACTGGGTTATATTTAGAGGGATAGCTCTCAGCCACGGGAAGGGGTAGAGTGTCCCACATGGGCCAGCCTGGACTATCTACCTGGTGACAAGGACTCGGATAAAAGCACACCTCCACTGTACATGCTCCAGGACCTTCCCCAGGGAAACATGCAACCCATGTGTGCTTGGCCTCTGGTCTTCCCGACAATCTGCTCCAGGCCGTGTCCAGCTGTGGGCTATCCCACATGCAGCTAGGACAGGCAAGGGGGCCTGCGGACCTCTACCCACAAAGCCCTATACCAACCGCTAGAATGTCTCTTCTCCAAGCAAATGTAGGATAAGCACCTACCCTCGTGTGGTGGCTGGCTCCAGGGTCTGGGGGTGATGGACAAGTGCAGCCCAGGTATCTGTCTGAAGGCAGACCACCCCCCAACCCCGCAACAGATACCCATGCTGGTCAGTTCTGTTACTAAGTTCACAAGCTTGGGTTTTAAAAGTTTGCCCTCTCCCCATCTCAGTTTTCTCATCCATAAAACAGGAATAGGAATGTTCCTTCCTGGTTTGACATATGTGAGACTGGAAATATGAGTCCGAAGGCCTTAGCCCAGTGCAGGATTTGACTCTCCCTCCTCTCTCCACAAGGACATATGGGTCACAAGAGGCCAGTGAGGATGCATGACACCACTTACCCTTGAAGGGAACAAGTTGTCCTTTTTAGGGCTCACACTCTATGTTGGGCTCCTGGGCCCCACTACCCCAAGATGGGGGAAAGGGGGCCAGAGCTCCTAAAACATCCCCAATCAGTCACTTCACTGGCCTTGAATTTCCTCAAACACACAGTGTGTTCCCACCTCAGAAACTGCTCGGCTTTCCCCTCCAGGAATACAGATATTCCCAAAGCTCCCTCCTTGTTGTTTGGCTCAGATGTCACCCCCTCAGTGAGGCCTTTCACTCACATTCTTTTTCCTATCACCCAGTTTTACATTCTTCACAGCACTTCGCCCAGAAACTATTATTCAGAATATACTGTGGACGTCAGTTTCCCCAGAGGCCCTACGCAATACACTCTGTTGCAAGGAGACTGCTTTTATCCTCGACCACATCATCCACAGAAGGTACTGAGGCCCTGCCGGCTGGAAGGTGCCCTAGGCGCACAGCAAGACCTCGGGCCAACGGTTATCTGCTGGGGCCATTCCAGCTGGCTGATAACGTGTTTATTGCATTAGTACAGTCGGCCTACCCCACCCCACCAGCCCAGCTTGTTCACAGCTTTCTGCTCTTTGCCCAAGGAGGAAGTCCTTCCCCCAGGGTGGGCACTTTCCTGGACCTCTCTCCCCAGGTCGTTGCTCTGGAGTCCTGCTTCTCTGCCCTGACCAACCCGGCCTGGGACGCCCCTCCAGGGGCTACATTCAAGGGTTATCCTCTGTTAATAAATAAGCTGGCACAGCTGCCCCTTTTGCCAGGGCCTGTCGTCGCCGTCTTCATCAGCAGGGGACCACCGCGTGCCTGGCGCAAAGCTCTCCACAGTGTCCCAGGGTCTGTCTGTCCCCTGCCCCCTGTCCTCTCCTGCCCAGTCCCTGGCCTGGGGATGGCGAATCATCAGAGCGCTGTGCTGCGCGGTCCCCGCTCAGCACGCAGCTCTGGGGCGTGCGTCCGCCGGTTGCGGCCCTTCCTCCGGGACTCGGAGGACGGCGGTCGCGGCACAAGCTGCGGGCGACACATTCGCAGGGTGCTCGCGCCTCCACCGCCGCCGCCTGGCTCCACCAGCTGCAAGAAGTCCCGGTACCAGAGCTTGGGGCCCGGCGGCACAGCAGGCGCAGCGTCCTCGGTCCTCGCCAGCCTTTCGGCATGCGCAGCGCTCAGGACGTGCAGTGCCAGGCGACGCAGCGGCTGCGAAAAGCCCTGCTCCACCGCCGCGCACAGGTACACGCCCGAGTCCGCGCGCCGCAGCCCGCGCAGTAGCAGCCCTCGGGCGGTGCGCTCCGCTCGCTCCTCTGCCGGCACCTGCGGGCGGGCCACAGGGCAGGTGCGTCAGGCAGGTCAGACGCTGCGCTCCGCTCTGGCCCAGGGACAGGGGAGGCAAAGGGCCAAGCCAAGCCACAGCTGTGCATGAGCGCTGTGGATTTTAAAGCGGAAACCCAAACGGAGCAGGGTTCACCCTAATATGGGGAGCCTCGATAAAGGGGCAGGTGGGGCTGCTCCCCCATGTGTGGTGGTGAGGGAGGATCATGAAGGGGGCACAATGTGGCACCTAGTGGGTCCTCTGTGAGATGTGGACTGTGGGTAAGGGACCCACTGGACTAAGGCGGTCTAATTGGGCAACGCCTCCCTGGCATGGCTAGACATCGTTTAAATGTGGTTAGCAGGCCAAAGGCCTCCCTCAGCAGTCTGGGCAGGGCTTCTTCTGGATGTAAGGGGAGGACCACGGGCCTGGCTGCGGGAGGGGCGGGAGGCTGGGGAGGCCCACCTGGGTACTGGCCGCCTCCCCTGCGCGCTGGAAGGTCCACTCCACGCGGGCCTGCAGAGAGCGCGGCTCACACTCCAGGAAGGTGCTGCCACCCTCCACACCAAACACCTTCCGTTCTAGCAGCACAGGATGGGCCGAGTCTGCTGGGAAAGGGGGTGTCAGATGCAGGCAAAGCAGGGCACGGTGGGAAGTCTTCACGGGTTGAGGCCGTGAGGTCAGTTCGGGCACTCACCCCCAGAGCACAGCGTGCTGGGGTCTCCATTCCTCACGTCTTGCCGCCGGAACCTCCTGGGGTAACATTGCAGTCTCGTGAAAACAAATCCTACTTCTTTTAGCCCAGGGCAGGCCGAAGACCCTTCGACTCCCGCCCGCTTGCGCACCCAGCCCCTGCCCACCTCTTGGCACTAGGCTGGAAGCGCGTGCATGTGGCCCCGTCCCAGGCACAGTAGGGGTCGCGGGCCAGGCAGCACTCGGCGCAGGCGCGGCCGTGGGCAGCACAGCGGTGCAGCGGGATCTGGGCCACCCCGCTCCTCGAGGCTATGTACAGCTGGTGCTGGGGGCACAAGGGGCTCAGGGCTGGCCAAGGGCAGCCTGTGTCCCCTTCCCGTTGGCCAAGGGTTCCCTCCGCCCACTTGATAGATGGGAACACTGAGGTCTCAGGTCATAGAATCTAGTGAAAGCAGAACCTGTACCCAAACCCAGAGCCTCAGCTACAAGGGAGGAGTTGGGGGGCGGGGGGAGGGGCGCGGGCAGCAGCCAGAAGTGTGCTGGGTGCCTTCTGCCCTCGCACTTCCCAGGCACTTACCCTCTTCGAGGAGATTTGCATGCTGGTGACAGCAGATGAGTCCTGAATGGGAAGAAGGGTGCTGGAATCAGGGCTCAGCGGCTGCGAGTACCTCAGTGGACAGGGGAGAGGCGGGAGACCTCACCTCAACCACATGCAGCTCCTCCAGGAGCAGCCCCTCAGCGTTAGGCCGGCCACCCTTGGGCACCGAGATGACCTTCAGCACTGTGCCAACATCTGCAGGGGTGAGGAGGGGTGAGGAGGCCCCTACAGTTAGGGCCAGGGTCTCCTTGCCTCTGAAGCCCCCACCCTCAGCCCAGCCGTGGCTACGTCCCTGAAGAATGCAAGTTGGAGCAAGCAGCAGCATTCACAAGGACAGGGGACATGGCAAAGGGGGGCGACAGGCTGAAGGAGGCCTCCTACCAACAGGCTAAAGGCCGGGGCTGGTCTTGGGGGTGCTCACGGCCGGACCCTGACCTGTGCCGATGAAGAGGACGTCGTAGTGTCCATCGGCAGCTGCCACACGGTCTGCGGTGATCTGGGTGAAGGTGTAGCCGGCACCTACTTGTAGGAAGAGAGGGCGCCCCCCCACGGGCAGGACTGAGTTGTACATGAGCGGGTGGTTCCGGGCAAACTGGATGACATCGTCAGGAAAGTCCTTGGTGGAGCTGAAGGTGACGAAGGTCTTGCTGGGGCACTGCGGGGTGGGACGGAGGCACGGCCGGAATGTGGGTGTAGGGGCAGACGGGCATTCCTCCACAGAGACATCTGGGAACCTGGGGAGCATGCCTGGGAGGGAGACCCAGCCTCGCCCTTGGAAATCTGAGGGACAAACATGACCTCCCTGAGGAGCCCTGTCGGATGGAAATGCCGTTTTCTGCCATAAGAGAAGGAAGAAACCACCTCCACTAAGACCCCAGGCCAAGTTCCCCATGCGGACTCCCTGAGGTGGGTTGCGGTGGGGCGCCCTGGGATACGCACCATACCGGGCCGGGGGTAAGGCACTCGGCCCTGGTAAGGCACCCACTGGTGCGCGGGCCCCTCCTTGTGGGCAAAGGGTCCCAGGAAGGCCCGCCGCACGTCGCTCATGCTGTACACGCACACTGCAGAGCCCTGGAAGACGCCACTGCAGGCGAAGACATGATGGAGTGAGGGTCTCAGGGCTGCCTCGCTGGCCCTGCTCTGCTACCTTGCACCCCTCACCTGGATGTAGAGAAGACCGCATAGAGCAGCGGGGTCCAGCGGTCCCGGGTGGACAGCAGGAACACGTCCTCTGTGGGAGAGGGTCAGGCTGGGAGAGGGCACACAACCTCCCTGCCCCCGTGCCATCCTCCAGGTCGGGCACTCACGGAGCTGATCGAAATGTGTGTCACCCTCTGTGCCAGGCACTGAGCACACCAGTCGAGCCTTCAGGAACGTGGTCCATTTGTTGACCAGGCTGCGCTGACCACCCACATCATTCTGCAGGAGTCAGAGGGAATGAGCGGGACCACAGGGGCAGAGGGTCAAGGACGGGTCAAGGACGGGTCAATGGACGGACATGGCCCGGCTGCTCCTCACCCGGCAGATCTGGCCAACCCGGGACACGGTCCGGCGCCCCAGCGCCGGCGAGGCTTCCACGGCCAACTCCCGGAAGAAGAAATAGATCTTGTCATCGTCCGGATTCTCGTTCTCCGGGATCCAAAAAACCTTGATGAACTTGGGCTCTAACCACAGCAAGAGGGGTGCGGTCAGCAGAGGTCTGGCCCCACCCGCTGCCGCAGGACCCTTCAGCGGGGCCCCTCCCCTCTGGACCTGCCCGGGGAGCCCGGGCGCACGTGAACACCCACCCACCCTTCTGGAGAGTCCAACCGCCCTCCCGGGAAGAACCCAAAGACTGCGAGTCGAGAGGCAGCCACCAGAGGGCAGCAGAGACTGCGGCTATCTGGGCGCGCAGGCGGTGGGGCGCGCCCCGGTTGACCAGGGCTTCTACCTCTGCGGACAGTTCCCTGGAGCCAGCGAGCCAAGAAAGGAGGCAGATGGGCGTATTGGGTCTTACTTGCACTCAAGAACCTTCCTCCCTGGCAGGAAGCAGATACCCTAATACCCCAAACACCCCCCCCCCCCTCCAAACACCCGGCTGGGTCCGGTCAGCACCCTGGCCCCTGCCAGTGTCCCTCTCACTATCGCTGCCTCAGCAGTAGGTGCTTCTCTGCCTGGGCTCTTCTCTGAGTCCTGCAGTGCTGGGAATCAGCTCTCGCCTCTCCTCAGCAGAGAGGTTTTCTTTCCTCAGCCTGGTTGCTTTTCCCTCATCTCTGTTCTCATTGGCCTCGTGGGCCCTGGAACTGGTCTTGCTGTGTATTTGTGCTATGGTCTGTGAACTCAGAGTGTGGGTGACAGCCGCCTCGTCTGCCCTGCCACCCCGGGGTCTGGCAGGGCCTGATGGCTGGTGAGCACTTACACGCCCCCCACCCCCAGGGTCTCACACCCCTCCCCACAGCCCCACCAGCCTTTCACCATTCAGCCAGCGGGAGTCGTGTGGCTCTGTTCGGAGACTTGGACGGTGGCCCAGGCTTCGGAAGATGGTAAAGTCCCGGCCCATGAGGTCTGCAGCCACCCCTGAGTACAGCTCTCCCCCTGCAGACAGGGCAAGGGCCGCTCAGCCCAACTGGAGGCTCTCAGGGCAGGAGAGGCCGTGGCGCTCCGGGGGCCCGGGAGGCAGCGGGGCTGTGGGCCTCCCTGGGGCTCTCAGGTGGTCTGGGCCTCCCTGAGGTTCCCGTCTCGGTTGGCTCCCGGCCTCTGAACTCACCCACCAGCACCGACGCAGCCCGATGCCTGGGGTCATAAGGGCTCTTCCCTTTGCCATCCTCTGGCCTGCGCTGGTCCAGCCGGAGCAGGGGCTCCTGCGAGGCAGGGGAGTTGGTGCTGCCAGGCCTCCTTCCCCTTCCCGCCGCCCTCCCTGCCGAGAGGCCTCACCTCCAGCTGGTGGCCCACCTCCACGAACGCACAGGTGGGATGGAAGGCCCCGGTGCCGCAGGCCAGCAGGTGGGTGCGGTTGTAGGTGTGCAGCAGCTTCACGAAGTTCATGCACTCCGTCTGGGGGGCAGGCAGGGGCAGGGCATGAGGGCTCCCAGGGAAGGCTGGAAGGGCTCTTAGCTCACTGGGGGGCACCCTACCCCTTCTTCTGTCCTGCATCACAGGCTTGTAGAAACATGGGAGTCCTTGGCAGTGCAGCCCATCTCTCTCCAGAGAGGATACATGGGAAAACAGAGGCCTGCCTAGCCCCCCATGACTAAGAAAGAACGAGTCACATGAACCCCTACCCTGACTCACTACCTCCAGACCCCAGCCACCCCACCCCCCACCCGCCCTCATCCCAGCCAGAACAGGCAGGCCTCTGTCTCAGAAACGCACCGTCTGGGGCATGAGCTGACCCTCCCCACTCCCATCCCAGGCAGCCAACACTCACACCAATGTCCTTCCCAGCCCAGTTGCACTCCTCTCGCCATTCCACAGGGGCCGGCCAGGCCAACTATGGGGGGTGGGGGAGCACAGGTCAGAGACTTGGAGTGTTCTCTAAGGCAGGTCTCCACTCCGGGGGCCCATCCCCCTGGGTCTCTGCAGGCAGTCTGGAGCAAGGTCCCGGGGCATCCCCTGGGCAGCGCTGAGGCTGGGGCTCCCTGGCACCTTCTTGTCCCGCTTGCTGATGTTGTCCAGACTGAGGGAGGCCACGTGGTTCTCTGCCCCCACAAACAGGCGTCCCCGCTCCTCATCCACCAGCAAAGCTTCGTAGCAGCAGGTCCGTTCGAGCCTGTAAGTCCGGAGACCATGGCGGGCCTGGAGCTCTGTGTGAGAGGGCACCACTGGGGACTCACAGTCACACCAGAGCTGGCCCAGGCCGAGCCGTCGCCCTCCTCCCACCGCTGCACTGTGAGCGGGCCCTGCCGTGCGAACCTACACGTGTGTGAGCTCACACTCAGGAAGACAGGCGCACCCAGGCGTGACGCTTCCCCTGCGAGCAGTGCAGCCCCCCCTTGCACCCCCCCAACTCGGGGAAAGCAGGTTTGGCTTGGCGTGCTCGGACAAGCCTCTCTAGGCTTGCAGGCTGAGAGGCCAGGCTGTGGCGGGGCTGGGGGAGGCTAGGAGTTAGGGGACAGCTGGATTCGCCCGAATCAGGCTGAGGCATCCCTGCCACAGGCCTGCGCTTAGTGACACCGTGGCCAGTACCGCCAGCAACTGTTCTCCTGTGTAGGAGGTGTGGGAGGGGGGTTCTGGTGGCCCCCACGCTTCAACTTCTCAGTTGCTCTGACTGCCGCAGGGGCGTGGCAGAGGGGGTAAGGAATGGGACAGAGGCACAATCTGTTGCCATGGGGACAAAAGGGTCTTCCTGGGAGAACTCAAGAATGTGGGTAGAGCAGCTGGGGGCTGAGGCCAGGACAGGGTTAACTGGAGATGGATCTAGAGTGCCCCCATCCAAAGCAGACTCACTGGCACAAGCCTAGGACCACAGCAAGCAGAGTGCCCCTACCCACACTGGGCACCCGTCCTGCCCACCCTGAGCTGGGCCCTCCCGCCTGCAAGGTGCACCTACCTTGGAAGGAGAGCCGAAGGCGTGGGGGGCTGGGGGTGGCACCCCCCAGCACTGCTGCCCAGAACAGGGCCAGGCCCAGGATCATGGCGGCTGCTGCCTCCGCCCGCCCCATCCCGGCGTTTCAGGGCGCTCAGGGTTCAGCGGGCATGTGTGGAGGAGCCTTCAGCCGCCCTGGACTCTGCCCCGGGATCTGGAAGAGAAGGAGTTGCAGGGAGGGTGAGGGAGGAAGGCTAGGGGGGAGTCCCTAGGGATCGGATTACAGCCCCTAGGGGAAAGAGGCTGGGGGGTCGCATTCCGGCTTGGGAGCCCTCCCCTTGCTCTGAGGGTGCCCTGCCTGGCCACAATCACAGACACACCCACGCTGGGCACACCCACCACGGGGTCAACCCCGCACTGGCAGACACACGCCCCACCACCACGTCACCCTCCCCAGTAACCCGCCCTCCCTTCTACACACACACAGACACTAATTCACAAACTCTGCACCTACTTCATGCCAGCCCGGGATGGGGTGCAGAACAGACAAGGTCCCCATGCAGGAGGGGGCAGCATGCCAGTAAGGAGATGGTGCAGTCATCTCAGAGCGTGCCAAGTGCAATGAGCAAAACAAGCCAGTCACGGGAGAGAGACCAGGGGGAGGGGGTCAGGCCTCGGGAGGTGGCTGCGCACCCACGGACCAGAGAAGCAGAAGCACTTGGGGGCTGGAGCTGATGATGCGGGGCACCCCTCCGTGCGCCCAGCCTCACGTCACGCCCGGTCTGTGTGAGGCCTTACGGCTGCGTGTTGTATCGCACGTGCAGATGCGTGGCTCTCGTGGCTACGTGGTGCTGCACGCACGAGTGTGCGTGTCTGTGCGCTCTGTGTACATGTGAGTGTGTGTGAGCACACGCCGGTGGGTGGGGGAGCGTCTCCCTCCGGCCTCACGGCTGAGCAGGGACTACCGCAGTGCCGGCCTTAGCCCCCCCCCCAAAGGCGGGAAACCCATTTCTCAGAGGGACAAGCGCGGTCTGGAGACTGGCCCCTGGCGCTGGCCAGTTTCTGGGGGGTGATGGCAACAGGCTGATCCAGCAGCCCCAGTGTTGGGCTTGACCTCTCTTCCTACCACAGAGGAACACACAGAAATTCAGGCTTCAGACACAGAAGGAACCCAGAGCCTGAGCAGTCTCGCTCCCCAGACCGAAGACGGGGCCTGGTGTGGAAGGAAGAGCCTCCAGCTCAGCCTCCGCAGCCCCTCGCCTGCCCTCTCTGCCCTCGCCCTCGCCCTGCCCTCGAGGTTTGCCCTTCTTTCTCCTCCACCTCTGGGAGTCACAGCCCTTTCCTGGACCCCTCACATGGGGCCAGGATCTGGCTGTCATACCCTCTGTCCTTTTCAGAACCAGAAAGGGCAAGTGCCGGGCACAGGGGCCCTGGCCTGGGGCAAGGTCCTGGGTGGGTTCAAGCCAGGGGAACAGCTGCTGTGGCGTGCTCCAGATTGCCCCCCACATATTCCTACCAGCTCCAGCTCCAGCCCCTCCGTGCCAGGGCTGCCACCTCCCTCTGCCTCCGGTGCCACTTGTCTCTTCTGGACCGGCTCCCTTCCCACACTCCACTGAGAACTCCGGCTGCACTGCCTGCCCACCCCAGCCCCGGCCAGTCCAGGGAAGGGCAGAAGCTTCGGGGCCCTCAGGGCACCCTCTGACGGCTCCTTTAAGGAACAGCCCCCGCCCCCACCAAGCCTGCCACCGCCCCACACACACGAACCAGTTTATGGGGCGGATCGGGTGACCGGGCAGGCAGCCGGCACCGGCTGGAGATGGTGACTGGGCTGGAGTGGAGCGGAGGCCCAAAGGAGGGGGTAGGGGCGACCCCTCCCCTAACAGGACTCTTGCTCCAGTCGGTGGTCTTGGGAGTGGGCCGCCAGAGTGAGGCAAAGGAGGAAGAAGCAACAGAGGTCCCCCCACAGCCCTGGGGGCTCTTGCAAAGGGACAGCCCTGCGGCCAGAGGCACCCAGGGGCAGGGGCTCCTCACCTGTCCCTCCACAGCTGGGGAGCTGGAGGGGGATTACAGGGGGCTCAGCTGCCACCTCAGTTCCGGGAGCTGGCTGGGATGGGAGGATCGAAGTCAGGGGAGTCTGCTGAACCCCCGGACCCAGCCCCAGTCCTTCACCACTTGGCCACTTGGTACTTCTGCCACCTGGCTGGCAGTGGCTGCGATGACAGCCAGTCAGGGAAGAGGAGGGCCGGGCCAGCGGGCGGGCGGGCAGCAAGACTTGCACAGCTGGGTATGCGCAGAGACCTGCCCACCCCTCTTGGAGGTGAAGGGCTTTCCCTGCGACCTCCCTGCCCCCATAGTCATTCTTCCCCTGGGTGAAACGGGAAGGGCCCCACCAAACACAGAGCAAGGCACCAGGGCCCCACAGAGGATGAGGCTCCTACTCCCCAGCCTCAGGTGCAAAGGGTCTGGGGTCTTGGCCTAAAGCTGGGTCTGCTGGACACGCCCTCGTTATGTTGCAGGGGCTACTTCTTTGGAGGCGTGAGGGTTGACCGCGATCCAGTGGTGCCCACTCCAGGGCCTGAGGTCGGCTTCCACCCACCATTCTCCCAGAAGGCATCCCCAGGCTGCGCCTCCACCCTCCCAGGCTGAGCGGCAGCACCTCAGGGGTCAGGGAGGCTGTGTGCACACTTCAAGTACTCACAGTTCTGCTGCCCATCTGCCAAGGGCCCTGGACTAGAAGTGTCTGTGCCCAGCCAGGGTGGGGCCGTGCCCCTCTTTCCTGAGCCTCGGGACCTAGTGTTCCTGGCCTGGCCGACTGGCAGGAGGAGGGGTGGGGGTCAGTGGGAGGACCAGGGGCCTTCAGGAGGGGGAATGGACAGGCACACCCTGCCTGAGCTCCCCAGATGCAGCCTTGCCCCCCTTCTAGGCTCTCTGGCCTTAGACCTGGGCAGCCTCCTCTGGCTACATGCAAGCAAACAAAATTCTTTGGCTGTTTACAATTTTCCACCCAAGCAGCCAAGATCAGCAAGTGCCTTTGAGGCCCTGGCCCATCCCTGCTGTGCCCCCAACACGCCCCCACAGCCTCCAGTTCCTCAGAACCAGGACCCTCTGCCTGCTCAGCTCCCTCAGGCCTGTGATCTCACTGGGACACTCCCTCAGGCCTGTGATCTCAGCAGGAACCCTGCCATCTCCTAACACCCTGGGCTTCAACCAGAGGCTAAAGGAACCAGGTCGCCCTGGGCCCCGAAGCCGTCTGCTCGGCCTTCCCTTCTCCAATGTGCCCCTCACCAGCCCTGAGCAGGAAGGAGGGCCCCAGGGTGGCTGCTCAAGTTGCCCTGTGCCCACAAGGTCTCCTTTAGGCCTTCAGATGCTCAGCCCTACGCCCAACTGTATAGGCCGGATCTGGGTGGGGGCCTCGTGGAACCAGTTTGCGGGCATCATTGGCTGTGGGTCCTACTGGCAACTGGTATCCCACAGAGGACTCTGGGCAGAAAAGCAGGGGAGGCAGAGTGGGGGCCCTACTCCGGCCTGCTTCCGGGCCACAGAGCCACCCCAGCGCCCTGGGCCTTTATCCTGACTGTCGGCGCACTGCCCGCCACTGCCAAAGCCGTGGTTTTTCCTTCTGGAAATGACGGGTTTGCTGTGCCAAGTCCCAGCACCTGCCTCCCGGCTCCTCATCACCAGCTGGGTCTGCCCTGGCCCCCTGCCTGGCACTGGGTGGTGAGGCTGGGGTAGGCCGTCCCTCTGAGGGAGGTTACAGCCAACCCTCCCCGTGCCCAGCCTGGGCTGGGTGAGCTTCGGGCTCCCTACTCACACCTGCTTTAGCCATTAAGGCGAGTGGCACCAGAGCCACCACCTTCCCCTGTTCTGAACCAGTGAGTACCAGGACACACGACCCTGAGGAGCAGGCATGGCAGGTGGGTGGGCAGTGGGCTTTGGAGAACTGAAGCCAAAGGCCCTGACCTCCTACTCCGCCCCAGGGGGTTGCCTGTTGGAGTATTTCCCCCACCCAGCCCTTCCGGTCTCCAGGCTCCCAGGGGACCCCTGGCCCACCTTTTTGGGAAGATCAGCTCCTCCCCTCCTTGCTGGCTCCCCTTCCCTTCTGAGGGCCATGTCAGAGCTGAGGCGGAGGGGCTGCGGGAGGGGCGACCAGGAATCCTGGGCCTCCAGCAGTGGCCCTACCCCCACCCGCTCCGCCCCTGCCCTCCGCCTCCTGCACATTCCTCCCCGGCTGAGGTCAGCCCCTCTGCGCTGGGGGAGCGCCCCCCTCAACCAGCCACATCACAGCTCTTCACTCCTGTTTTCTTCATTGCCCAGCAGGGGGTGGGGGAGGGGGGAAAAGGAGGGGGTGGAGCTTCCCTCTCACCTCCTTCTCTTGGCGGGTGGGGGGAAGGAAGGGGGGTGCCAGGAATGCTGCAAAAGTCCACTCCCAGGCACTCTATGCTTATTAACATACATTAACATAATGCTAAACTCCCTTCACCGTTTGAGGCCAGACTCTCAGGAGTGCAGATTAGGGGGCTCTGGCGGTGCTGGCAGGGGTGTGCTGGAGCCCAGCCCAGGGACCAGTCCCCTTGGTAGCTCCAGGAGGGGTGGGGTGGGGTTGAATTCCCCACTCTGCCCCTCACTGCTCACCAGCTGTGTGTCCTAGGGGCAGAGTATGCCTCTCCGATCCTTCTCCTTCTCCTTCCTCGTCCTGGGTTGGAATGGTGACCCAGGCACCCGGCACACTGTGTGGGTACACAGGGTGCACTCTTGTGCCACCTGAGCACTGGGCATCCCAGTGTGCACACCTGTGCCTCAAGGACCACCGTCAAGTCTGCCTCTCTCAGTGCAGCCTTCCGGGGGCCCCTTTGTCAGGCTCTATTCCTGTCCTGTCCCCACCCCTGGCCCCTACGACCCCCTGTGACCCCCCCCCAACCTCTGGCTCCCAGAACTAGGACTTCCTGGACCTTCCACTTAAACTCCTCCCCCCACTAGCAGCTGGGGACACCTCAGTCTTGCACACATCTGTCTCCAGCCAACCCCAAGCAGAGGCCAAGCCCACATCCCTCTTCCCAGAGCACCCCAGAGCCACACCTCAAGGCGAAGGGCAGCCTTTCCATCACATTAAAGCTTAAGATGGGCCAAGGGGCCTCCCTGGTGGGGCAGTGCGTTGAAGCACCGCACTATGAAGCTCTCCGCAGTCACTGCAGCACGAGTTCGATCCCTGGCCAAGGAGCTGACCCAGATGGCGCGGCAGACCTCTCCTGTCTCACCCGCGGCTCCCCTCAGCTGTGTGTTTCAGTAGATCCACCTGTTCCACTCCCCTCTTTGTCTCTGGTGAATCTTCTCACCTCCTCCCCACTCCACACCTCTGGCCTGTACCCCAGTTCTTGTATGCATAAATAAAAATAAGTCTCTAAAAATGCACAAAATTATGTAAAAATAAACTATTGTATATATTTTTTAAAAGTCTCAAAAAAAAAAAAAAGATGGACCAAGGCCCCATCTCTTCCCTCTACTGCTGGAAGCCACACCCCTTCACCTCATTACAGCCACACCACACACAGCTACCCCACTTCTGGGAGCTATCAGTTCTTCTGCGGCCAGGACTTTGCTCAGGCGGTGTCCTTCACTCACTGGCACAGGCCCTCCCTCTGCCAGTTGCTGGACTGGTCTTTATCCACAAGCACACTTCTGTGTGCCTCTCTGCTGGGCTCTGGGTCCATGCCCCTCTCCCCAGTGGCTTCATCCCACCCCACCCCAACCCCCCACACCAGCAGAGGACAAGTACAGGGGGCAGGAGAGGGCATGGCTGCCAGAACTCTCCACCGGCCTGGCCCTGCCCACCTAGGTGGAGCTGGGGGGCTGATGGAGACAGGATTCTGGCCACCTTGGGCCTCTCCATGACCCCATGCCAGTCCCCAGGTCTCGTCTCCTTCCACCCACAATGAGGTCAGAAAGGCAGAGTCAATGGAAAGAAATGTCAACTTAAATTTCCTAACCAGTATCACTTTTGGGGTTGCATCTCAAACAACAGGAGAAGCTGAGGTCAGGAGGATCACGGGGGACCCCTGCCCTTTGGACACTGGTTCCCTTCACTGTTGGTTTGTGTGAGGGGCAGAGCACCTGGCAGACATAGACACACTTCACCTTGCTGTCACCTGGCTGCACACAGCCCAGACAGCTTGAGGCCCTCCCTTGGGTATGTGCTGGGGGCTGGATTCTGCTCTGGGAGCTAAAGGGGACTTGGGGGAGATGTATAGACCCATGTCAGGGATGAGGGCCCCTAGGCTCTCTTTTAGGACAACAGACACAAGAATTGGGGTCAGTTGTTTGGGAGTGGGCCTGGACCCAGAATTCAGCCAGGGGAAGCTGCAGGCCTGTCCCTGCTTCTTCCCTGACTCTCAGTACAACTAGAACCTGCTTGGATATGGCCCAGCCAGATGGCTGGGCCGGGACTTGTACCCTCCAGCCTTGGGGGCTGGCTTGGCAGGTGATTCTTGGGATGATGCTAAGGGGCTCTGAATGGCATGGAAGTCTTCCCGATGTCAGGAGCTGTGGGGGTGCCGTGGAACACCGGGAAGGGTTCTTCTAAGACTGTCACCCTCTATCTTCAGGGGCCCTGTGAAGGGGGCCCCCTTCCTACTCTGCACCTGGCACTTGGACTTCCACCCACCTGTTGAGGGGTGTTGGGGCCAAGCTGCCTGCTGGCTCCTCCCCACAGCCTTTCCCTATACCCTCCCTCTTCAGGCCTCTCTGATTCTCAGAGGGAACATGCCTCTTTCTCTCTTCCCAGCTGTTTCCCTAGCCCCCAGATGGGTTAAAAATACCAAAGCTGCCACCACATCAGTAGCCTATTTGGAGTGGGGTGGGTCTGCTAAGAGGCAGCTCAGTCTCAGGGCAGTCCTAACTGGCGAGAGACTGCCTGCCTGCTGCACCCTGGGACCGCAGCCTAGGTTGGGGAGCAGGAGCAGGAGACCAGGCTCGTTGCCTGGCTCTGCCTGTCTGGCCAAGGGTCCTGGGCCTCACAGTGGAAGCTGCCCATGTGGGGCCAGAAAATGGAGGGATCTTAGGTTGGCAGAGCTCCAGGGGACACTGACCCCGGAGCACTGAGTCTCTGGCTTCTCCCAGCTGCTCCCAGGGGTGAAGGAAGCCTGAGGTCTAGCCCTGGACAGCTCCAGGCTGGGGTGGGTGGGGGGGATCTCCAGTTCATGTTCATGGAGTCTCTCCAGTTGGGGTGCAAAACACCTGGGGATCCCCCATCCTGCCTGCCGGCCACCAATGGCTGGGGATTTCCTAACTGACAAACAAGGAGGAATTGAGAGGCCACCCCCGCCGGTGCCGGTGCCGGGACAATGGAGCCTTATGCCTTGGGAGTCAGAGCAAGGGCAGGAGGGTCAAGGGCAGGTGGGGGCCTGGCTGTCTGCACCCAGAGAAGCCCTGCTTGCCAGCAGCACCCCTCCCAGACCCACTGCCAAGCTGGCACAAGGGGATCCTGGCCAGGACCCTTGGCTTGGCCCACCCAGGGAGGGAGCCACTGGGTGCGGCAGGCAGACCAAGTCAGCCCTCAAAGGCCCCTCTGTGCAGGGTTCCTTCTCAGGACGGAAGGAAGGGACCATCTCCGCTGGCCTGCTTCCTGATGGGCAGGCGGCAGGGCCCTGGAGCTCCGGCCCCGCCTGCCTGCAAACCTGGGGCTCAGCGGGGTCCAGGTCCAGACCTGACCACTGAAGGAAGTCAGAGATCTTGAGTTGGGTGAGGATCCTGTTATCCTTGTCAGTAGGCCGGCCGGGGGAGCCCCTCAGGGCCCTGGGAGGCAGGGATAGCAGGAAAGGCCCGGGGAACTTGGGCGGAGACCGGGGCTGGGGGCGTTGATCTCCTTCCGATGGGGCGGCCTCAGCCTCTCATCTCCTGCCAGCCCTTGGGCCCCGAGGCCACGGTAGTGGGGGGGGGGGGGACTGGCAGGTGTGCGGAGGCCGGATCCCGGGCCCCGGGCCCCATCTTCCTTCCCTCTCCCCTCACCGCCCCCCCCCCCACCCGGGCCTCCGCCTCCGACCCCGGCCCTAGCCGCTTTGTCTGGCCGCAGGAGCGGAGCCACCGTAGCAACACAAAGCTGCCTTTGTGCCCCGCGGCCTCCGCAGGACCCGATGACGTCAGACTGACCAACTCGGCGGGGCCCAGCGCGGGCTGAGGCGCCCTCTGGCGGCCACCGGCGGAAGAGCGCGCTCCGAGCCCCACCCACTCGGGGCCCGGCTTTCACCAGCCCTGGCAATAGGTTCAACCCCCCGCTGTCCAGGGTAGAAAAGTCCAGAAGCCTTGTCTGGTGCTCAGACCCACCTCACAGGCACCCCAAGCCCGTCTCACCTCCCGTTCCCTTCTCCAGCAGCGCGTGTGCGCTTCCCATAGGCGCTCGAATGCCTCTGCATTTCGAGTCCCCATCCTAAATGTGGCAGTCGGCTGGGGCCCTGCTGAGGGGCGAGGCTACCCTCCCACGGAGGTGTCCACCCCACTTTCAGATTCGCAGGGAACCTCCGGGCAGACACCTTCCTGAACAAGCCCAAGGGGCCTCTGTTGAAGGGGCAGGGCTCTGGGTAACACCTCAGGTTGGCAGAAGGGTGGGCAGGGACAGCTCCCTCACAGCCTGACCTCCACAACTCAACCCACACCCTCTCAGTCCTGGGCCCTTCTCTCCCATCGGCACTGGGTGCCCCTCCTGCACTCATGTGGAAGACCCGGTGAGATGTGCCCCAGACCCAGGAGGTGCTGGGAAGAGGGGCGAGCCACTCGCATGTAAGACGACTGGGCCCCGTGGGGAAGCCCGGGAGCCGTGTCCTGGGCCTGGGTGAGACCCGTGGAGCCAAGAACCAGGGCCCTGTCACAAGTGAAGCTGCAAGTCAGCCGACACACCTCCTCCGCCCGGGAGAGAAGAAAGCCAAGCAGTTCTTGGTGTTTTTCTTTCTACATTTTATTATTTCAAACCAGGTGAACAATTCCATAAAACATGTGAAAAAAGCAAGGAAGTGTTCAACGCTGAAGGATCCAGGCCTAGGGCGAGGGCATGAGGGGCAGGGCCCCTCAGCAGGCAGCGGCGGTTCCTAGATTAGCGCTAAGGAGCTACATTTAGGTTCATGGAGCCAGGGCCTGGGGCCAATAAGGGCCCTCAGTGACATTGGCAGTTATCTGAACAGCCCTTGGAGCCCAGCTCTGTGGTGGGCAGGGCAGGGGAGCCGCCCACAGAGGGCAGCCAGCGGAGGGAGAGGTGTAAACACGCAGACACACTCAAGGCACGGAATCACTGGAAGGGGGCTGGGTGGGCGCTGGTTAGGATCTGACAGTTTTAAATAGTTTTCTCTAAAAAGTTTCCTAGGTTTGCAGTTTTTTTCTTCTTCTTCTATCTTTTTTCCTTTTTTAAAAAAGCTACGAATGAGCAGGTGGACTGTGGTCTCCAGGAATGGTGGCATCTCATGCTTCTTGTGCTTTTTCCTTTGGGGCCTCCGAGCAGTTGGAGGGTGGGTGGGAGGGAGGCTCCCTGTAAACATTTGGACTTGGGTTGGGTCGGGGGCTGGTGATGGGCAAAACCAGGGGTCCCAGGGGGGCTTCCCTCCAAATACAGGCCCTGGGAGACTCAGGATGTGCACCCCTCCCCATTCACAAACAAGACAAAGGTTGTACCCAGAACAGATGCCTGGGGGGGTACTGAGGCCATCCCCAGCACCTGGGACGAGGGTGGGCTTCAAACAGGAAGGCCCGTGGTAACTCCTTCCCCCCGCCTCTGGAGCTGAGGGAAAAGACAGGGGAGCCGAGAACAGAGAATGGAAAGAGGGGAAAAGCGGCCGGGGTGAGGAAGGGGCACAGGCGGGAACGTGGTCCTCTTGCCCCATCTTCCTCGGGCAGGGGAGAGCAGACGACAGCGGCGGCCCTGGAGGTGGGGACATGGGTTGGGAGGTGGCCAGTGTGCGTCTCCTCTCGCCTCGCTAGACGATGACCCCACCCACAGACACAGTGGCCGGGCAGCCGAGGAGCCGGTGTCCGAGGCTGCGTTACCTGGGGGGGGGGGGCGTGTGCCGCACAGGCAGAGTCCTCCGGTCCGCCCCCAGCCTGGTGGGCTCACCCTATCTAGGACCCTCAGGCCCCCAAAGACAGCAGGGATGAACGCAGAGCTGGCTATAGTGAGCGGTCGGCAGCTGGGCCCTTTCATCACCAGCCTGCCGGTTAGCCCTGCGGCCCGGTGGCCAAGGAAGGGAGCTCTCTCCAGGGCAGTCGGGACACTGAAGGCTGGAAACCTTCCGGTCCTGTCCCCGGGCACGGCCGGGCACTTGTGCTCCCTGGCAGAGCAGAGCCCAGGCAGACCTATGCTGGCCCCTACCCCACACCCCGGCGCCTCCCCCCCCCCCCCCCCCCCCCCCGTTCCCTGGTGTCCTTCTAGGTGCCCAGTTTACTTCCCCTCTGCCCCCAGCCCAGCCCGCCCCTCCTCTGGGCTCAGTGTCCCCATTCCGATGCTCCTCGCCCCCCCCCCCCACTTACCATCCCGTCTGGCCCTGCTGCCCCTCAGAAGAGGCCGCAGTCCTTCAGGTTGTTCTTAATGATGACGTCGGTGACGGCGTCGAACACAAACTGCACGTTCTTGGTGTCTGTGGCACAAGTGAAGTGCGTGTAGATCTCCTTGGTGTCCTTGCGCTTGTTCAGGTCCTCAAACTTGCTCTGGATGTAGCTGGCTGCCTCGTCATACTTGTTGGCCCCTGTGGGAGACAGGTGGCGAGATCTGTGCCGCGCGGTGAGGGGCGGCCCCGGCCACGGGGACAAGCGGCTCGGTACGTGTGCCGGGCGGGCAGAGGGTGACGGCACGCCGCCGCGGGTGCACGGGCACGCGAGTGTGCCACACGGTGAGGAGAGGCCCGCGCGCACGTCAGGGCAGCCTGGGTGTTCAGTGGGCCGCGTGAGTGGAAGCAGCTTGGAAGGGAGGCGCCAGCCCCTGCACACGTGCCCCGAGGTTACCCTTCTGTCCAGCAGGGGGCGCCCGTGGGCCACCTGGTCACCACCGGCTTCTCCCCAGAGGCCCCGTCCCCACACCTGTGTACTCAGGGAAGCAGATGGTCAGGGGGCTGTGTGTGATCTTCTCCTCGAACAGGTCCTTCTTGTTGAGGAAGAGGATGATGGAGGTGTCCGTGAACCACTTGTTGTTGCAGATACTGTCAAACAGCTTCATGCTCTCATGCATGCGGTTCTGGGGCAGGACAGCGGCGTCAGCACCGGCCACCCCCGCCACCTGCCTGCCCCCCCTTCCCCGTGGCCTCCTGGCCTCTCACCATCTCCTCATCCTCAGCTAGCACCAGGTCATAGGCGCTCAAGGCTACGCAGAAGATGATGGCTGTGACGCCCTCAAAGCAGTGGATCCACTTTTTCCGCTCAGACCGCTGCCCGCCCACATCAAACATCCTGTGGAAACAGGGTCACTTAGCTCCAGAGAAAGGGGTTCTGGGACAAGGTCTCAGCTCCACCTCACGGCTGGCTGCTAAGGACAGGGGCCTGCTCGCAGTGCTCGCCTTCCTTAACCCTGGTCGGGGCACGTCTGGACAGGCAGGGTCAGGGCTGGCCGGCAGGGCAGGCCACAGCCGCCCTGTAGCAGGGCCAGCAGAGGCCGTGAGAAACCCCAGTGGGAGAGGGGACCATGGACCGGTCCTTCCCTCTCAACAGTCATCGGAAGGCCTTGGCGTGAGGGTCCCTCCTCAGCCACCCCGAAGACGGCAGGTCCTTCCCCTCCACCCTGCCCCACGCCCGCTCACTTGAAGTGCAGGTCCTTGAAGGTGAAGTGTGTCTCCACGATGCCCGTGGTCTTCACTCGGGTCCGCAGCACATCTTGCTGCGTGGGGATGTAGTCATTCCGTGCGATGCGCTCCAGGTCGTTCAGGTAACTGGGGCCGGAGGGGTGGGCAGGTCAGTGGGGACTAGCATGGGGCCTGCTTACCTGGCCCCTGGGCCTGCTGCTCAAGGCCCTTCTGTCCCCTAATTTCTCAGGCCAAGTTCTTGTCTCTCTCACCGTTGCCTGCTCATTCACTGCTGTCAGATGGAAACCTGAACTAATTCCTCTCCTCCTACCTGTGAACTGGCCTGGGAGCCAAGTCCTAGCACCCAGTTCCGTGCCAAGCCCTCCTCCCACAGGACCCAGGGTGGTGGAGCTGCAGCACAGGGAGGTGGGAGGGGGCAAATGAGCCTCCAGAGAGGGAACCAGGTCACTAATCGTGCAATTACGGCGCCTGGCAGCGTGGCGAGCTGTCCTTGACACGGGGCCGGACAGGCTGGGGCCCGCCAGGCCCAGTGGGTTCTTTGCCTAGCACCCAATGAAAGTGGGGCTCCTCGGGGAGAAGGCACACCATGGGACAGGGTTCCCAGGGGCTCCTCATTACCAGCTCCCTTAATTAGTATCAGCGCCACCCCGACCAGACCGGGCCAGCTCTGCCTGTCTCAGTTACCCTGCTCTGCTTCCCGGCGGGCTGGGCACCGGCCTCGGAGTGGCTATGTGGGGCCGACGGCTCTTAGGGAGGGTTACGTGGCCACTCTTTGGCTCCCACCAGCAGTTGGGCCAGAGGGAAATGACCTCAGAGACACAGGGACAGAACAGAAAAACAGGAAGGGCCATGGGGGACCATGACGCATGTGCTGTGACCTGCATACTGTGCCCGCCTCCTACTGAGAACCTCCAGCCTGGAGGCCCCTTAGAGGGTCCTGGAGGGCTCCGCTGCAGCTCTCTCTCCTCGCCAACAGGTTTGCCCATGGGCCGCTGTCCCTCGGTAGTCTAGGACCGCTACACAGAGGGCGGGGGCGTCCTTGTCTGCTGGGGGAGCAACACAACCCCCCTCCCTCCCGCAATGATCCTGCCTGGGAGAGCAGGGCCATGTTCACTGCCGAGTCCCGGCACCCACACCAGTGTCGGGCACACAGGGAGGGCGTCTGGGGATGAAGGACAGGACGGTGGAGGGGTGGAAGTGAGTCAAAGGCAGTTTTATCCTGCCCCTGGGTATTCTGGGCACCCAGAAAGCACTGGCTGACAGGTCCTGCAAACTCTGCTCATGACCTCTGTGACCTCCAGGAAGGCGGTGCTGAGGCCCGGAGGCCCTCACAGTGTTTGGGTAGAGCATACCCTGTGGGTAAGGCCCAGTGGATGTCTCTGGAACCCCTGTGACTCCCCAGCTGAGACCTGCACTCAGTCTGGGGCCACTGAGGATCACAGCTGAGGTCTGGGGCTTCAAACAAGACACGGATCGGTCACCTGCCAGGCAGCTCCCTGACCTCTCCCTCTCCAGCCAGCACCAACATCCTGTGGCCTCAGCACAGCCAGCATTCTGCTACCCTGAGATTGTCTAACTGCTGTGCTGTGCCCGGAGCCCCCTTTCCCCTCCATCACTCCCGGCCATGACCCTGACACCCTGGTGTGACTGTTTGGGGACCTGTCTGTTCTGCTCATCACTGGCTGGAGCCTTGCATGGGGTCTGGCACAGAGCAGCTGGCAACAAATGTCCCCTAGAACAACTGCATTGATGGACAGAGCAGACTCAGTTGGCCTGGAGATGCTGCTGCCTGTCTTTCCCCAGGGTTCTCAACACCATGCTCACTGCCCCAAACCAAAAATTGCCAAGGCCTTGGTGAACAGTCATCATTTCCACAAATGAGCAGTATCTTTGTACAGGCTCCAAGGAGCCTGACCTGTCGCCCAGACTTCCCTGCAGCCCCTGCCCTGTCAAGGGGTACTCACTAGGCTGCGGAGTCATTGAGCTGGTACTCCCGAGAGCGGCCGAAACAGGTCTGCACACCATGGTCAGCCCAGAGCCTCCGGATGACGCCAGACAGGTCCTCAGGGAGCACACCCTGCTCCTCGGCTGTGCACGACAGCGCAAACAGCTGTCTGGCATCGTCCTGGGCACAGCAGTGGGGGGTCAGCTAGTCACAGGAGTGTACCCCACCCTACCCCACCTGTCAGAAGCAGGCAGGCCTCCAGAATGGGGCCCAAGCTGGGCTATTTATAGGTTCCCCAGGACAAGACGAGGGAGGACGGGGAGGAGACCACATACCGCACGGGAGGAGTCGGCAAAGTCAATCTGCAGGTTGCCCATGGCTTTGACAATGGCCATGATGGACTGGATGGTGTTGCTGTAGACCACGGCCCGGTACTGCCGGCACTCCTCCTCCGAGTAGCCGTCCTCATGGATGATCCTGGCAGTCAGGCATCGGGGGTTAGGGCTCACGGAGCACTAGGCCTCACAGGCCCCCCTGGTCCTGCTGTGCAGCCTACTTCAGGGAGGAAATGCCCCGACCCCTGGTACCTAAGGACAGGTGACTGTCTTGAGAAGGTTCTGGGTGAGAAGAGGTGGGCAGAGTAGAGGCCCAGAAGAAGAGGAGGGGGAAGCAAGGCTTGAGCTACCTGCCACACACAGCACTTACTTCATCTGCTTGACAATCGTGCTCTTGCCCGACTCCCCAGCACCTGGAACAGAGGGTGCAGGTGGTCATGAGGAGGCCAGTGGGCTACACAGGCCCAGTGACGACCAGATGGAGGCAGCAGGGCTACCTGAGATAGAGCTGGCAGGGCCAGTGTGGCCAAGGCACCTGTCCCATGGTGCTCTCCCCAGGCCCTGGCGTAGCACAAGCTCTACTGCCCACCCTGGCTGCTACTGCCCTGGCCAGTGACCTGAGGTCAGTCCTGGAGGTACCCAGCCTTCTCGCACGTGCAGGCTCACCCCTCTGTAGCTGATGCTCAGCAACATGGCCCGGGCAAAGCTCCTCTTTCCCCAACACCAAGTTAGAGCTCCCCAGGGGCCTGCTGACCTGGGGCAGAGTCCTATACCCAGCGCTCTGGGCCCGTGTTGGTGCTGAGCAGGCGGAGACCGAGGCACACCCTGCACTGATTCTGGACACTTCCCTGGCTGGCAGGACCTGCCCTACACAGCTCCCTGGCCAGGGCATCACTGGCACTTTCTTGTGATTGTCAGGCCACCCCATGAACAGGCTCTGTTTCTGCTCCTACTTTATGTTGTGCACACTGAACTAAAAAGCGAAGTCCTGGGCCTCCCTGGTGGTGCAAGGGGCTAAAGCACAGCACTGTGAAGCTCTCCGCAGGCGCGGCAGCACGAGCTCCATCCCCTGTCCAGGGAGCTGATCCACACGGAGTGGCAGGCCTCTCCTGTCTCGCCTGCTGCCCCCTCAGCAGTGTGTTTCAGTGGATCTGCCTCTGTCTGGTGAATCCTCTCACCCTCTGTACCTCTGGCCTGTACCCCAGTTTAGTATGCATAAATAAGTAAATCTTAAAAGAAAAAAAAAGTCCAGGCCCGAGATCACACAGCCAGGATTTCCAGGGGTGGGGGGACACGTGGGAAGGACCATGATGCCTGGTCTGCTCAACGCTCCTCAAAAGGTGGTTCAGACACTGGGGAATGATATTCTAGGAGTGTTTTTCTTTTTAAAGATATATTTATTTGGGGCCCTCCCTGGTGGCACAGCAGGATAGGACACAGCACTGCAAGCTAGCCATAGCCACTTCAGTGCGACTTTGATCCCCAGCCCCAGAGGTGATTCACATGGTGTGGCAGACCTCTCCTGACCCGCCCGCTGCTCCCCTCAGCAGTGTACTTTGTCAAACTGCCTGTTCTGCTCCCCACTCTGTCTCTGTGGAATCCTCTCACCAGCCCTGCACTTCTGGCAAGCTTGTACCCCAGTTTTGTATGCATAAATAAATAAATCTTTTAAAATATATGTATTTATGCATACATGAACTGGGGTACAGGCCAGGGGTGTGGGAGGTGAGAGGCTTCACCAGAGACAGAGTGGGGAGCAGAACAGACAGATCTACTGAAATACACTGCTGAGGGGAGCAGCGGGTGAGACAGGAGAGGTCTGTCGTGCCGTGTGGAACTTGTGCTGCAGTGACGACAGATAGCTTCACAGTGCTGTGCTTTAACCCCTTGCACCACCAGGGAGGGCCCCTCTCTTGAGGGTGTTTTTAAAAAGCAGAGTCCCAGGTCCCAGCCCAGGTCTAAATGGTGCAGCCTAGGAACCTGCATTCCCCAGGGATTCTGCACAGGGACCTGTGATGACTCGTATCACTCATCGCCCTAGTGAGGGTAGAGGGGTGGGGAGCAGGGTCTCACTCCTTTCCTTCCCTGCGCTCCAGTGCGAACACAGCTCAGCTGGGCCTGGCTTCCCCTCCCACCCTTTGCCCAGACTGCTCCCTCTTCTCCTGCCCCATCACACCGCACCTGCACAGCGCTGCCTCTCGCCTCACTCCTGTGGGCACACCCATCCCATCATGCGTCCCGCTCATGTGCCCCACAAACCCCCCCACCCTCCTCACGGCAGCAAGCCCACTGAGCAGCTCAGCAGGGTGACAGCGGTGTCTGTGGAGAGGCCACACTTGGGGATTCTGGTCCCCACATCCCTCAGGTTTGGTCAAGACAACCTCAGAGGATGATGGGCTGACACACTAGCAAGAGCAGCAGAAATAACATCAGCAGTGACGGCCAAGCCCCGGCCCTGCCCACAGCGTGCCAGGAGCTGCCCTGTGCCTAGCACGTCCTCTAAGTCAGTGGCAGAGCAACCCTGAGAGGGAGGCTCGTCTCACCGCATCTGACCAATGAAGAGGCCGAGAGGCTCTGCCACTTGGTGCAGTCCCCTCCGTGGCTGGCCCAGCTTGCGGGGTGCCTCTTGGAGCTGTCCCCAGGGCCCTGTCCTGCAGCTGGAAGTTACCCACAGGCCCCAGCTAGCGTGTCACCCAGGTCACTGCCCGCCTTCCTCGGCCAACGCTCGCCCTAGTCTCTGCGACACTCCCAAGTGGCATCGGGTCTGCTGAAGAGCCAGGCACTTGTATCCACTCAGTGCTTACCTCAGCACCAGACCCCTATTTTCCAGGAGGAACTGAGGCCAAGCTGTGAACCTCACTCAGCACAGGCTGTGCCTACACTCCAGAAGCCTTCCCGAGAAGGGAATTCACTCTCCTCACAAATGCCGCCAGCTGCCTGGAGCTGCTGGGCTTCTGACGGCCTCAGGCCGGGTGCCCGGTGCAGACTCTGGGCAGGTGAGCAGGGGGTGGGGCCAGCCACCTCAGTGCCCCCTGGGTGTGTACTGTCAGCAAACAGACCCCTCCCCTGCACTGGGTTGCAGACGGTAGGGAGCAGCCAGGCCCTCTAAGCAGGGGGCTGCGAAGGTCTGAGAAGAATGCCTAGTCAACCTTGGGGGCCCAAAATACCTGTCTGGGAGCGTGGCCCCAGAAAGACCAGCCGCAGGCCAGGGTAACTGCCTGGCGGTCCTTCACACATTACTGCCCTTGAAGAGCAGGAGGGAGGCAGCACACTCTGGAGCAGAGGCATCTCGGCCACAGCTGGCAAGCCAGCCGGAGCGGAACGGAAGCCAGGGGTGCAAGGGGCTCAGTCAGATCAATCATGCCGCCCTCTGCCAGGCGAGCCGAGACTCGGAAAGGGCAGCTGTCCAGGGCACACAGGGGACCTGCGGTTTAGGCTGAGGGTTGTGTGTATCTGAGGGGCCAGCTCCCCAGGCTGGTCTGCTGACCCCTCCTGGCGGGGCGTGGGCCCCTGGGTGGCCCTGCCCGGCAGTGGGGATGGCGGCACCAATGCACTTTGCATCTGATTTCCCTGGCAGCAGATCTGGCAGACCCCAAGGCAGGCCACACCTGGGCACATCGGGCAGCAGCCAGGGTACCTGCCCTCAGTCCCCACCAACTGGGGCCCACTTCCCTGTCCCCTTGCAGTCTCTCCCACTGTAAGAGTCACGAGGACCTTCTGTGTCCCCAGCAGGAGTCACCGGAGAAAGATTCCCACCAGGCAGGTAGATAAGTCAAGATCAGAGAACCCCCATTCCCGGACTTTGCCCTAGCAGTTATGACTCAGGTGGGAAGAAGTGTGTGGCAAGGGGAGGGTGTGGTGCTGACAGCCACACAGGAAGCAGGGAGCGCACGGGACAGAACGGGGACTCGGCCCTGGATGGAATGGGTGGGGCGAGGCCCGGGACCTCGGCGGCCCACAAGCCAGGGACGCTGGGACTGAGGGTCACCTGTCCCACTCTTCACCCCTTCTTCAGCAGGGCCTGACGACTCTGCTGGCAGACAGGGTGTACTTGGCTCGGAGTTTGTCTGCTGAGCCTGGGCACCCAGTTTCCCTCACTCCGTCCTCGGAGCAGGGGCTTCACTAGCTGTCTCCAGATTGCTGCACAGAAAGATGCCGTGCAGGGGCACCAGGTCAACAGAAGGTGGCAGGCGTCGCTTGCCCGTAGAGGGCCCCACCGAGTACTCCGCCTCCCGCTGAGCGAGATAGAAGGGGCCCCGCCGAGCACCCTGGGGTGGTCTCAGCGCCCCCACTGGGCCACACGTCTTCCCACGGAGGAAGAAACCTCTGCAGCCCGGTCCGCGGCACAGCTGCTGGGCCCACAGCAGGCGGCAGCAACTGCCGTGCTGGGTGGCAGTGGCTGCTCTGCCGCAGAACACCTGCTGCCACTCTGGGGGCGCTGGGCCCAGGGGAGAAGGAACAGGTAGAGGATGGGAAGCAGAACCACCCCACCTGCCTGCACAGGGCCTCTGCAGCAAAGAGGGGGCCCTGCCCAGATGCTCGATGCACGCCCCAGCCCCGGCATCCAGCTCACTGCTCAGTCTGCCTTACCCCTCTACCTCCTGGAGAGGGCTCTGCCTCAGTTTCCCCTCTGCAACAGCGGCGAAGCCTCAAGTGGCCACACAACCTATCTCTGGCTTTCAGATGCTCTTCTGGACCCTCCACAGTCCTGGCACCAGCCCCGGTCCTTCCCGGGATCTCTAAGCCCCTGCCCGTCCTTCCTCTGGCACCTCACCTGTGAAACAGGACACCACCGCTATCTCCTCCTTGGAAAGGACTGAGGATTAGATGCAAAGCTCTTCTCACAGTGCCTGGCACCCGGAGAGTGTTCAGATAAAAGTATTACCATGATTTCCTGCCCTTTGTAAGAATACAGATTTGTCCAAGCCTCTCATTTCTCACAGCGTGTGGTGACCACACTACACAGGTCATTGAAACCGTGACCTGTGGAGTGGCCGGCTGAGGCCCTCTCACTCGGCACAGTCTGAGGGTTTCCCACAAAGTGCAGCGGAGGGCAATGACCAGTGGCCAACAGGCTGACTCAGCAGCGGTGGTTCCCTGCTGAGACTTGTGAAACCTGGAGCAGGAGTCAGAGTCACTCACTCCTTTCCTGGCTTTTGCTCTGAGTTTGTCTCGTCACTTCCCTTCCACACGACCGACACTCCTGCCTAGCCTGGCCGGGGCTGCCTTCCGGCCCGGGAACCACAGCAGACTCTGCTCACTGAGTCCCAGCTCTCAGATGGCTGGACAAAGGCCCCCTGCGGAGGCTCCTGTGCTGGTGGGCCCCTGGAACACGTGGGAGGGCAGCGGGCTGACGTGGCAGGCCAAGGACAGAGCTTCTCAAAAGCAGCCGTGGTTGGGACCACAGGGCAGA